CCAGACGTCTTTCCTTGTGTTTCATCTTCTTCTGTGTGTTCAGATCTTCTGTAGAACAACTTTTGTACCTCACCATCTTTAGAGGAATAAAAATCAGTAAGCAGCAGATCCACCCTCTGCCACATCATCACACTCTGTTCCAATCATCTTGGAAACGCTGGTGTCTTAATGAATGACAAAACCCTTCCACCAGTCAAAGCTTTTTTACTATTTCTGCATTACCAGTCTATTTTATAAACACTGTTTAAACGTTTGTGAATGCTAACACCGACAGCAATCTCTGGTGCTTATAAACTGGGATGAAGAGGAGACTTCCTAGTAGGATTCATAAACATCAGTCAGACTGGACCATGTTTATAAACATCATGTAAAAGTAATTTACCCCTTAATGCCTAAAATATGAAACCATAATAATAAAAACATTTGTAACTGACCTATTTATTATTTAGAGTTAAAACTGAATATTATATAGTTTTTATTTTGTATTATATCACAGTATTAAACTAAAATTGGCCCTCACCACCTTCTCCTCCTCCTTCACCAGGGGGCATTAGACATCTATAGGACTGGATATGGCAGGTGTTTTGATACTAATTTGTGACAATTGTCATTACGGGGGTAAAGCTCAGTGTTTTGTTGTTTCTAAAACTAAAAGCAAAACCAGTTTTTAAACATGCTCACAAAGGTTGTAGTTGTTGGGCACATTGTGTCTAAAACAGTCAGCGTGGTCATGGGAAACACATCTTTGTTTGTTGGTCACCAACGGTTTCCTTACAGACTTTTAACTTCAGTTGTTGGTGGACTTTTGTACTAATGAGCCCATTGGAGGGTAAGATAGTGACAGAACTGAGTGCATCCGGATGTTTGGTTTGGGAGACAACCAGCTGCTGTCACTTTTATCTTGGAAGTCTGGACATGATGGACAGCAGGCTGAAGGTTTTTATGCTGCTCCATTCAAACGACTTAGGCTTGTGTTTTATTTTTGCCTCGTTCTACAAACCAGTTACTGGTGTGTCAGTTTGGTACCACAAGCAGTTGTTTGATCATGTGATCTGAGCCACTTTTAAAGGGTGTAACGGATGTTTTTGTTAAAGTGACGAATATAAGTCAAGATGTGTCTCTTCTGTGGTTTTACAACAAGGCGAACTCCCCTAGAGTGTATTTCCTCATTCCTCTGAAACAACACTAATTACTGCTGTGACTCTTGATTTCCTCTGGGCAGACTGGGAGACGTTTCCGCTATCTTTTAAAAAGTCTGCAGACTTTTCAGTTTGAATGTGAAACAATTCCTCACACTTGGGCTCACGTTTACCTAGAAACCAAGAGAAGCTGATGGTGTTGTTAACACAAATGAGATGGGTGCTACTGAAGCCAGAGGAATGTCTAGAACAGGAAAACTTTGTAATGCTGCTCTTTAAAGATGTGAACGAGCTTTTGGATTGGTTGTTTTTTATCTTTCCTCCAGCAATAGCAGACAGGATTCTGTGCTCCCAGCTGAATCATAGCCGGGAGTTTACAGATGTCTAAAATGTCCTTTTATGGCAGCAAAGGGGTCTAAAAAAACAGGAAATGGCATTGGGTCATCTGATCTCACAAGAACCCTGTCATTTTAGAGCCGTGGAAGATCCATGTTTGTCTGGACACAACGCTACGGACCCCGGACCTGGACTCTGCTCGGTCTGAAATAACTAAAAAAACGGACTGAATAAAGTAATTAGATAGAAGCTCTAATTAGGAAGGGAAGCAGGAAGGACTGCTGCAGGAAACTTCCAGTTTTCAAACAAACAAATAGTATTTCTTTTCAGTCTCTGCTTTCCAACAGTTACATAAGTAGAAGATGCATCTAAGATACTTGAGAATGTAAATAGCCCTTTAAGATAAGAATGAATAAAAACATAATCTTTTCAAATAAATTTAGATTTTCAAAGCATGACAGCGCCGCTATGTTTTTGTTACCTATTGTTAAATTAGGAATATCAAGTACAGTACTCTAAAGTAAGTAGGCTTGTAACCACTAGAGTAGAGGGACTCAAGCAGGCGTGTAGATTTTTACTGACAAGCTGCTGAACAAATAGTGCATTACAGGTGAAACATTTCCATATTTAAATGTAAACTTTCTGATTAGGATGGTGAGACTGTGGTTCCACATGGAGATTAGACCAGAGTCTGAGGGACTTCTGTTGTCCTTCAGAATTACAATGTTCACTTTTTTTTTCATTTTATCTTTGGGACATTTCATCATATTCGGTGGATTCGTTCAGAGTTTCATGTGTTGAGCCAGATCCAAAACCACAAATGTTAGTTTAGCCTCGCCCCTTGTCGGTGTTTCCTGGGGCAGCTGTAGGTATAATGTACCCATCAGTGTGTAAATAGATGAGTGATTCATTGTAGTGTAAAGCGCTTTGGAGTCCTCTGACTCAGAAAGAGGCTGTATATGTGCATCTAATTTATCATTTATCACCTTTGAGACTCTTGAAAACTTTCTAGACTATAAGAAGATATTATACAATAAAAGTCAAGTAAAAAATTTACTTCAAAATTTTAAGTTGTACTCTGGGGAAAAAGAGCTCCGGTGCACCAGTTTAAGGACGTAGAAGTGAGCTGGAGGAGAAAATAGCTTCAGACGACAGGATTCAGAGGTTTTTTTTTGCTGATATTCAAACATCTTGCATCTAATTGGCTAACAGTAACAAACTCCACCACTGACTGTTTGCTTTGCAAGGTTGAGGTTTGAGCTCCACAAATTACACAAGCCTGGAGGAGTTCTGCCTTGTGGTAGAGTTGTTAATGCTAACAGTTAGCTTCTCCTAGCTTATACCTGGATCACATCAGATGCGGAAGCGTGACGATGCGCCACGAAGCGGTGCGGAACGACAAGCCTTTCTGTTCGGCGCCCTTGTTAACCTACGGTCTCGGTCACATCAGCTGCGAAGTGCCACAACGGCTCGTGCCGTGCAGCGATTGTTTTGGCATGTGCTCTAAATTTTTCGCGAGCTGTGAGTGAGCCATGTCAATTCTGACAGGAAGTCAAACCCAAACAGAAGAGGCAAGCTGGTAAATTTAACAAAATAAAGACATTTTTCAAAATAAAACACAGCAATTGATAAATGTGATACTTTTTGTGTATCTAAAATGATTAGGAAGATGAAAATGAACACACACACACAGCAAGGGCACAGGGGGTGGGGTGGGAGGGGTTGGAAAACAGTTGGCATGAGCAGAAGCGCTCGTCGAAAAATCTCGCCTGATGTGAACAGAGGAGCAGCGATGGAAATGTTTACCATCTAAAATCAAACGTCCAGGAAGCAGCAGAACTTTGCTTCGCAGTTGATGTGATCCCAGCGTTAGACGTTCTCTACTGTTTCCTGGATGCTAAACCATCAACAGCCTTCTGTCCCGAGTCAAGATGGGTGACTCTGTGGTGACAGTGTGATGTAGAGCTGTGAGGATTTTCACATCCCAGAGTCTCACCATCTATTTTCTATCAGAAGCTAATGCAGGAGATAGGTGTAGGAGTTATGTTCAGCCTACATGACAAACTCAGAGTGACAGATTATATTCAGAAATAACGATAAGTGTTTTTTTCAGTGAAGTTGACCTTTAAGGGGGACATATTATGCAAAAGTCACCTTTAGCACATTTTATGTTGTTGCTTTATGGATCTCTACTGCTTCTAAAAACCACTAAAAAGTTCCCGAACGTGGCTGTGTCTGAAGCTCACTGCTCCCTGTGGATGGGTTAAGTGCGGAGAAGGATTTTCACCACACACTGGTGTGTGTGACAACTATGGGACTTGAACTTTAAACACTACAAATAAACCTGTCCATCTGCTTTCTGTCAAGTGTTTGGTTTTAGAAATTTTGTGCTTAAAATTAGGTGTTTCAAAAAGTACACGATTGTGACATCACAAATGGGGGAACTAGAACAGAACGTCCCTCACCGCTCCAGGCTGGAGGAGCAGCAGCTCTAATTCTTAATTTTTATTGTGTGGGATGTCCTCCCATGCAGATTAGAAGATATAATTTCTCTCTCATCTGAAAGAAAAAGGCTTTGTCTTGGTTTTCTATCAGAAACAGAACTCTGCTGTAAAGCTGCTTCTTCCTCCAGACTAAAACCACAAAACTGGCTGTGTTGTTGCTTTCTTCACAGAGAGAGTAGTATTATTCTTGACATACTTGAATTTTTGCTTATCTTTTTTTAACTTCTCTGTTGTCTACCAGCAGGTCCAGAGGAAATGGACAGTTCTTTAGTTAAATAAGATACAGGAACCACATGCAGAACTTTGGCTACATGGTGTTATTTTTCCCTGTTCTCTTCATTATATTATCTGTCTTGATGCGACCAGCCCATGCTGTGTATAGTAATCATGTTGCAGAAACACCACAAAATTTATTTTATGTTCTGTCGGTGTTTTACCGAGCTTTGGCTGCTGCTGACTGAGCAGCTGTGGCCTTCTTCTTGTTGGTTTGAGGATCATTTGAACAGGTTTTTCTGTATTTTTTTAGATTTCAAACATTAGCATCCTGCTAGTATTTAAACATCAGATAAACCCTGTCATACTTTATTTAATAAAACAAAAGAAAAAAGTCAAGAATATAAATATGAAAAGCAAATAATAACATGAATCCAATAACATATCCAACAAAGGATGGAAATAAGGTCAATTATATTTAATTCCACTTCAACAAGTTATTTTATGGCTCGTTGTTGAATTATTAACCATAAAACAAGGCTGGTCCCACTTCATCTGCCGTTAGTAGGCAGTGAGCAAAGGTCTAGTGGTGCTGCATTCACTGGCACTCAGACATTTGAAATCTACCCTTTTAAACAACAGTTGTAAAACTGGGAGGTGGGTTGCACCTGGCAGAACAGTCAGAGGGGGGCATAAACTTATCTAAACGACTGCTGATGTCATGGAAAATGAAGGTCATGTTAGTCAGAATGTGTGCAGAATTAAAATTATCGTAATCTTATTTTCTCTCTTTCTGTAATCCGACTAGGACGTGTTCAACCAAGTCGTCATCATCTGACTGAGCAGGAGGTGTGACAGTAACAACTCTGGTCTACATCAGGTATGGGTGTACTCGTCTCTCTGGCAGCGTGACCGCTGAAATGACTCATTTAACAGGCTGAGTTAGCCTGATATATTTAATGTTTTATTTTGACATGTTTTAAATCTGTTCCTGTTTGCTGTGCACTTCAAAAGGTGGGCAGTAGTTATTTTACCTTTGTGTGATGTGGCATTCCTGATTACAACATCTAAAACATGTTACTGGGGAGGGGTCAGCGCAGCAGCACACTAGTCCAGAACCTGTCCTGTAGATGTCTCTGGAACTGATGTGGGCCTGAAGACTGGACTATGCAGCGTTAACGATGCCCTCAAAATCCAGACGGTTTCTCTTTGGTGGACTTCAGTAGCCTTGGTCACACTGCAATTTTTAATTTTTTAATTTATTTTTTAACTGTTGCAAAATACTGCTTCGTGTCACACTGCAAGGCCTCTAGAGAGGTGGCCGAAGTTTTCAGAGAGCCAAACGGCATTATGTCTAGCAGGACGTGCTAACGTCGTGAGTGTTCTTGCCAAAAAGCATTTGTCAATAAAACCAAGACAACGGTGTTGAAAGCAGAAAAAGCACCACCTTTAACACTTCTTTTATTAGACTCTAAATCAAATTCCAAAAATCCACATGTACTTAGTCAGGAGCACTGTACATATAATCCAGAAACAATGGATCCAGGTGCTGCACAGACGTAGGACGAACGTAGAACAAAGCAGCCAGACTGGAGCGCTCTGGTCAGTAATGATGGTCTAACAAGCAGAACTAACATTTCTTCTTCAGAGTTCAGGTGAACTATTGGTCCACATGTGCCTGTGCATATTCTTCATTGTACACTCCTCACTAGTTTTTTGCATCACTCCCTGGGTGGAAAGCATCGACATATAAATATTGGACAATGGGTTTCCATAGACTCCAATAACACGTTTTTGAGGCTAAATGGGAGGTGGCCACCACCGCCATTTTGACCGTGTCACAGGTTCCGTCAAGCTCAGACAATTCCACAAAAGGGAAGAGAGGTGGAGCTGAGGGTGGGGCTGTAAGGCTGGGATCAACTGACGACACCCGGTCGAACTAGCTTCAAGCTAACCTGAAGCTAACCCAAAGCTAACGCGGAGGTGGGATCTAAGCTAACGGAAGTAGCAACCTAGCTACAACCGGAGTTAACTGTGCACAACACCAGAGCTTCTGAGTCAGAGATACGCCGGGCTGACTGCTGGGTAAAACCGGGTGGAACACAGAGGTCTCCCGAAAGCTGCTGAAAGCCGGCAGCCGCACAGCAGACAGAAGCGGCGATCAGACAGAGATGCGCCGAGCTGCAGTGAGGGGAGAACCGGGTGGAAAACATTGGTCTCCCGAGAGCTCCACAAGCCGATAGTGGGAACCCAGCTCCACCAACATGTTATATTTCAACCCATTTTCTAAAGTGCAGCATCGTGTTAAATGCACTGGGTTTTACCCTATTACATTTAAATTTCATGGTTAAACAGTACATGTTAAAATCTAAGCTCAGCTCGGCAGTGACCTAAAATACATAAATATAATTTTACTTACCGAGAAAAATGAAGTGGAGACTCCTTGGACATTCTATTAGTGCAATTAATGCCACAGCAAGTCATTTTGTCCAACAATTGCACAAAAAATATCCAAACAAGAATACACAAACACAGAGACTCAAAATCCTGGAGCAGTTTCCAGGCCAGACCGAGGCTCTACTGAGGCCTTTCCACTGAGCTAGCTCTGCGGTCACGTGGGTCAGATGCTCATTAATTATACAGAAGTTTAGGCTTTTAATACACTTAAACAGAAGAGTGAGAAAAAAATTCACCGCCCTCAGAGTTGTCATGAGTGTAAACTAGATCTATTAAAACTGAAACATGTTTTGGTACCAGGCTGTAAACATGTTTATTTCTGCTGTGAAATTGGCATTTTTAACATGGGAGTCAATGAGGATTTGCTCGCTTCTGACACCAGCCTCCAGCGGATGAGGGTGGAATTGAAATTTTTGGTACTTCCGGGTTGGCCTCAATTTTTGAACCGCATTGTTGGGGCTCGGTGGAAAGTGACAGTTGGTTTCCTCTTACACCTGTTAGCTCAGTGACCCAATCTTGGAGAAGTGGAAGGAGATGAAGCATTCAGCCAATCAGCATCTGTAAATGTCAGACACAGAAGAGAGATGTCTGATTTTTGTCTTTGCTTTGTTTCTGTTGTCCTATTTATGTATTGCAGCTGACTTAACTTGACCTAAAATTCTCACCTAGGTTCAGCTGTGTGTTGGCTGAAGGTGCAGAGCAGCAATCATGGTTGCCCTGTCCTTGAAGATTGGTGTGGGCAATGTAGTGAAGACCATGCAGTTTGAGCCCTCCACGATGATCTACGATGCCTGTCGGATCATCAGGGAGAGAGTTCCTGAGGCACAGCTTGGCCAGCGTGAGTTCCCTCTCTCCTGTCCCCTTGCATGAGTGCACAGATGTACATACGTGTTTTAATTACCATGCAGAATCTGATATGGAAGCATCAGTAATGCAAACAACTATGTGAACATGAAATGTTTATTTTCTGTAATTAGAGCTGTTCTGTGAGGAGACTTTTCTCTATCAGGGCTTTGATTTCTTCCACAGCACAGTGTGTTTCTAGTGGCAAACAGAGACGTCACATGTGCAGCAAAAACATCAGAAAAGTAAACAAATAAACATTTAAAAAATAAATACATTTATAAAAATACATAAAAATGTATAAACATACATTTATAAAAATAGAAAAGTATGAAAATAAATAAAGTGATAAAAAAACATTTTTATTGTAAAATTAAACTTTATGTTATAAAGAGATGACTCCAGTATTAATAAATCATTAATTAATAAATCATCATTCCAGTACCCAAGAAATCCTCCCCTACTGAATTGAATGACTATAGACCCGTGGCTTTGACATCAGTAGTCATGAAGTCCTTTGAGCGTTTGGTGCTGTCCCATCTAAAAAGCACCACAGGTCACCAGCTGGATCCCCTGCAGTTTGCCTATAGGGCAAACAGGTCAGTGGATGATGCAATTAACATGGGGCTGCACTTCATCCTGGAACATGTTGATCAACCAAGGACCTACACAAGGATATTGTTTGTAGATTTTAGCTCTACGTTTAACACCGTTATACCAGAAATCCTCACCACAAAGCTCTCTCAGCTCACTGTTTCCCCTGCCATGTGTCAGTGGATTTCCAGCTTCCTGACAAATAGGAGCCAGCATGTGCGGTTGAACAACGTTACATCTGGCACAAGGTTGATCAGCACCGGTGCACCACAGGGGTGCATCCTTTCTCCACTGCTCTTTTCATTGTACACCAATGACTGCACCTCTAAGGGTACAGCTGTTAAAATCCTGAAATTTGCAGATGACACCACTGTCATTGGGCTCATCCGGGATGGTGATGAGTTTGCTTATCAACGAGAAGTTGAGAAGCTGGTGGTCTGGTGTAGTCAGCACAATCTTGAGCTTAACACCCTTAAGACTGTGAAGATGGTTGTGGATTTTAGGAAGCTTCCCACAGTGCTGCCCCCCCTCACAATATCCAACAGCCCAGTGTCAATGGTGGACTCATTTAAGTTTTTGGGAACTATCATTTCCAGGGATCTGAAGTGGGAGAAAAACATCAACTCCATCCTCAAAAAGGCTCAGCAGAGGATGTATTTTCTTAGGCAACTAAGGAAGTATGGCCTACCACAGTATAGATCATCTTCTATACTGCTATAGTCAAATCCATACTCTGCTCAACCATCACTGTCTGGTTTGGGTCAGCCACAAAAATGGAAAAATGCAGACTACAGTGCATAATTAAAACAGCAGGAAAAATCATCGGTGCCCAACTGCCAGGAATAGTACACCAGCAGGACAAGGCAGTGAACATTGTCCAAGACTCCACACATCCTGCATCTACTCTCTTCAGTCTCCTCCCATCTGGCAGGCGCTATAGATCGCTGTACACAAACACTACCAGACACAAGAACGGCTTATTTTCCTCTGCCATTACTCTCCTGAATCTGTATTCTTTTACCATTCTTTTCTTATACTTTTTAATATTTTTAAAGTATGCTTCTGGATATGAATGTGTAGGTATGTATGTGTGTATATGTGTATGTGTGTGTGTGTGTATATATATATATATGTATATGTATGTGTATATGTATATGTATGCACGTATTTTTGTGTGTATTTACTCTTTCTATTTTTTTACTTTTATTCTTTATTTTTATTTTATTTTTTATGGTAATCCAAGGTTTGTGCTTTTTTCCTGATAAAGGAACGCATTCTCATTTATTTTGTATGTTGTAAGTTTTAGAGAGCTAACGTCTGCTGAAGCTAAATTCCTTGTAAATGTAATTTTACTTGGCCAATAAATCTGAAATCTAAATGGGTGAAGAGTGAGCATTGATAGAGGTTTTGATGGTACTTTTCTGGTGTAATCATTAATAATAGAACCTCAGAACTACACAACATAATGGAAAGAAACGTTTCTGGATTGGATTAATAAAACCATTCTGGACCACAGATCTCTGTACACGTTCTACCATATCTTTATAAATTACTGTGCAGAGGTTTACGACTAGAAACCTTCAGCCGAACCAGAACCAGGATGGACCATCTTTGCCTGGACATACTGAGGTCTGAGAGGACCAAAGAGAGACAGAGACACAAGGGGTGGACCAAGCATTGTTTCTATGGGAGTTGGGGAGAGAAAACAAGTTAAGGGCAACAACAAAGTAAACACAAACATGTTGAGCATAGGTACTTCATCCGGCCCTCAAGCCACATCTTTCTGGCCCCGAGATCAAATATTTTCACCAATGTTGATGCAGGCTTTTTGAGATTTGTAGTTGAGTACCCTTGAAATAACCTTGCGCTGAGATGTGTAGACACGAGATGGGGCGGGACTACACATAAAGATCTGGCTGCTGCCAGGTTACCCTTGAAGTAGCGTAAAAAATCAAAGACACCAGAATGAGGAAATATAACCAGTCTGTCCTCCAGCAGTCTGTAGCCTAGAGCAGCATAACTAAAGGGATGAGCCAGGATAACACAAGCTAACTTTAGCAAGTCCACACAATAAAACAGGCCAGAGCACATTATTATTATGAAGCTAGGGCACATGCAGAGGACACACACACACACACACACACACACAGACACACACACACACACACACACACACACACACACACACACACACACACACACACACACACACACACACACACACACACACACACACACACACACACACACACACAATGACAAAATACCCTTAAAAGGGAAAATCTGGAGCCGAGTCTTAAAAGTAGACAGGGTGTCTGTCTGATGGATGAAAAAGCTGGTTCCACCAGAGAAGAGCCTGAGGACTGAAAGATCTGCATCCTGTTCTGCTTTTAGAACCTCTAGTTCACCTACAGCCTGAGAGCCAGGTGCTCTGCTAGGAACGTCTGGATAAAGATCTCTGATATAAGAAGAAGCTTGATCTTTAGGAGTTCTCTAAGTTAGAAAGGAAAATGGAAGTGGTTCTCACAGTGAGCCGATGACAAAACTAGACATCTGGATAGACGAGCTGATGTCTTTGTCTTTCTGTCCTCCAGAAGTTGTGGAGAATGATATATATATGTGCATCTTTTGGATAAACGTTTGTTACGAAAGTTGGTTCTGATCCGATCAACAGACAGCTAATGGTTTATGGGTTCTGACTATGTTCTATGGAATATTTTTAGGCCCCTGTGGTTTGCTTAGCTAGCATAGTTTTAGGATTCCTCTTTGACCTGATGCCTTTAGTGTAAATGTCTGAATTCATTACAACTATGTCATCATTTGCTTTCTTTACCTTGTAATTGAGCAACCTGTTCATGGGAAACAGCTGTGTGTCCTGGTTTTAGCCACCCTTTTTACATCATCTGGGGTGCTTGTGAAGTCATATGTTATTATGCAAGATGTTTCACCAGCAGCTCCAGTAGGACCTGCTCCAGCATGTAGGCCAGTGTGCATTCAGAGTGAGTCAGAGACTCAAAATGCCAGAGCTTCTTATCCTGGCCGTGGGAGAAACGTGTTTCTACTGGCCAGTAAATTATAGAGTTGAGTTTGACGTAAATCTGAAGGTTTTCTAGTTAGAACAAACTAGTGATTTAACACTGTTAGTAGAGGGAGACCAGTACAGCCCAGGGTTTCATCCTGGTCCTCCACAACACCTTAGAAAGACTCCATACTCTGTTGAGACCTGTTTATTTTCTCTCTAAGAACAGATGACTCCGTGAACTTGATCACAGTTTCTTGTGTAGATAAAAGTTCTGACATCAACCCAGTTATTGTTTCTGGTTGCTTACCAGTTTGTTCTTACAAAACATGACTGGTGACGTTGTGTTTGGATGTTTTCCGTCCTGTTATTCTCTCTGAATGAATAAATAATAGTTTCTAACCAGACTTTTACATTCAGCTTTAGTATTTAATTGTAGATCAAACCAACTTATCATTATTGAATTGACACGTTTTGTGGTTTAAACAGAACAAATATTGTCCAAATCAGAGATGATTGATCATTTAAAGACGATGATGTAATCCAGTTGCAAATAACCAATGGGACTGTCTGAACAGCATTGGTTTTAGGTAGGATTTAGAGGAATGGTGGTGGTATTAAGCAGCAGACTCAGACCTGTCTGCCCATGCAGCAGGTATCATATATACTTCTGCTGTTGGATTTGATTACAACAGAGCATACAGAATCTTGAACAAAAAATGTTCTGCTCTTACTGGTCTACCCCTAGTGGGGGCTGTGCGAGTTTGAGGGTTAGTTCTGGCCTTCTGTTGTCCCCATGGTGATTCAAGTAATTGAAGGAAGAGCAAAGCTGAAGGTGCAGATGGAAATCCATCCATCCATATTCTTCCGATTATCCGGGGTCGGGTTGCGGGGCAACAGCCAAACCAGAGGCCCAGATTTCCCTCTCCCCAGACACTTGGGCCAGCTCCTCCGGGGAAATCCCAAGACATTCCCTGGCCAGTTGAGAGACGTAATGGGCCATTCCCATCTGTACCGGGTCGGCCCGGGCCGGGTAGCCCCAGTCGGCCCCAGCCTGGCCCGGTTGATTCCACACATCCTTGTCTTAAGCCCATGTGGGCTGATTCTACCCACCAATCAGAGGCTTGCTCTAATGGAAGGTGTGAATTTGCTGTCAGCAGTGGGTGTGTTGGCCCTGGTCGGCCTGAAGCAGACCCCCTCGAGAAGAGGGCTGAGAATGAGCCTTGGTTGGCCCGTAAAAATACCAGGCCACCCAGATATGTAAACAACCTACGTTACCCGGCCCGGGCCGACCCGGTACAGATGGGAATGGCCCAATAGTCCCTCCAATGGGTCCTGGGTTTTCTTTTGGGTCTCCTCCCAGTTGGACGTGCCCAGAAAACCTCACCAGGGAGACTTCCAGGAGATATCCTAATCAGATGCCCGAGCCACCTAAACTGGCCCCTCTCGATGTGAAGGAGCAGCGGGTCTACTCCGAGCCCCTCCCGGATGACCGAGCTTCTCACCCTATCTTTAAGGGAGAGCCAAGACACCCTGTGGAGAAAACTAATTTTGGTCACTTGTATCCTTCTATCTCCTTCTTTCGGTCACTAAAAGCCAAACCTCGTGACCATAGGTGAGAATAGGAACGTAGATCGAAAGCTTTGACTTCTGACTCAGCTCTCCCTTCACTACGACAGACCGGTACAACGCCCACATCACTGCAGACGCAGCAACAGTCTGCCTATTGATCTCGCGTTCCATCTTTCCCTCACTCGTGAACAAGACCCCGAGAACTCCTCCACTTGGGGCATCCCTGACCCGGAGAAGGCATTCTACCTTTTTCCGACTCAACCATGATCTCAGATTTAGAAGAGCTGATTCTCAACCCAGCTGGTTCACAGTCAGCTGCGAACTGCTCCGGTAAAAGCAGAAGATCACGGTCTGGTGAAGCCAACAGGACCACATCATCTGCAAAAAGAGTAACCTGATCCTTAGGCCACCAAAACAGATTCCCTCAGCTGTGGAAAGTCAAGTTTCACCTCAGCTTTTGGTTTAAAGTTTGATAGTTCTGCCATAAAGGCATGCGTGTGTGTGTGTGTGTGTGTGTGTGTGTGTGTGTGTGTGTGTGTGTGTGTGTACTTTTTCTATATGCTTAATATGAGGACATTTGACTGGTCCACACAATGACAAAATACCCTTAAACATGGTTTTAGAGGCATGGTGTGAATGAACTTTTGATTTAGATTAGTGTTAGGAAAAGAACAGAGTTAGTTATGGTTAGGGTTAGGGTATGGGTATGGGTTAGGCATCTAGTGAAGGCCCAAAAATGAATGAAAGTCCACACAAGAGACACGTGCGCGCGCATGCGTGTGTGTGTGTGAGAGAGAATAAGAGTGTGTGTGAGAGCTAAGCTCAGCTAAGCCTGGGCCCTGATGGAGTGGTTTTCTCCATCACCTTTGGTGCTCCTCTCCAACAGTTGAGTGGTTTATGGGATGAAATTCCAGATTGCTCAGATGTTGCTTCTGGTGGATCATTGGCTGTGATGCACAACACCAAGACCACTGGTGCAGGTGACTGTGCATCGGCTGGCCCCTACCTCCCTCCCCCGTAACCATGATCTGATTCGTCAGGGTTGTACCACAGTTCCTGTTTCGCTGGGTAAACCTCTGGTTTCACTGCCTCATTTCTCAGCCTCTGGTTGGAGGATTGTGGTTTGTGTTGAGACAGATGACACAACCTTCACTCTGAGAACACACAAACTATTTTTGTGTTTTTAAAACATGTATTTTTCTGAGCAACCATTCTTAATCTTGAAAGGGAAACTGAGCAACTGATTTTATATACTGTGATGCCACATGACTTAACCATGGCCAAACTCTTTCTGTCACCGTCAGCAAGCTGTAGGGTTTCCCTGGCTGATCTGTTAGTCAGTTAACCCAGACCTCACTTTGTCCAGGCCTATCTGCTTTTCACTCCAAAAACGCACATGAGTGTTTTATTCAGATGAGTTGGACTAAGTGAAACTTTTTCTTGCTTTACATTTTGATACCATGGTAATGTGGACAATCTCACCACCTAGTGGTAAAATGTTGATATGTTAATGTTTTATTAGAATGGTGAGTTTTACCTGTAAGTGGCCCTTAAAGACACACTCTGGTTCCCACATGATCACACTCATTTGACCGTTTTCCCTCTCTAGCCAACGACTATGGACTGTTTCTGTCAGATGATGACCCAAAAAAAGGCATTTGGCTGGAGGCTGGGAAGGCCCTGGATTACTATATGTTAAGGAACGGGGTGAGTAAAACTCCACTCCATATCAGTGCTGCCAAAAACTACAAGAGAGGATGACATTATGGGGTTGTGGGGTCAAAGATGTGCTGTGGTGTAAACATGTCTCAACAGCTTTGATTTTGTTTTATTGGAAAATGCAGCAGTCTCTGAAACAGTGTGCATTTAAGTTTTCGTGTTCAGCTGTTTGTTCTTCATGCGTTCTTAAAATATGATTTATTAGTAAATTGACATTGACAAGAAAAAGCAGCAGTCCTTAATCAGGGGACTAGATGTCATTTGTCCAGACTTTAATGTTAAGCTCTGTGCAAACGTCCAACCTTTTGCTTTATTGAATCCATAATTGTTGAAAACTCAGTCTGAATCAAAACTGAAATGATCAAAATTAAGTGCTCCTTAAATATTAAAAGTTAAGCTTTTACATCAGAATTATGTGTGAGCCATGTGACTGGATTAGGATTAGGGAAAATCCTGTGGCGCTTCACAAACACAAAACAATAAAGAATTATTAAAAGATTTCTAAATTTATTAAAAATGTTTAAAATGGTTTAAAAGGAGAAAAAAATGTAAGGAAAGGGGGAGAAAATTGATAGGAAAGAGGGAAATCAATGGATCCCAGGAAAGGCGGAATAAGAGCAGAATAAGGAGAGGGTGGTGACGAAGGTCACATCAAAGCCAGCTTGAACAGGTCTATTTCTTCAGGTTTCAACTTTAAAAAGAAGCAACAGTACAGATAAATAGATTAGTTATGTCTGTGTGTCCTGTATAAGATGGGATCTCCTGTAATCTCTTCTTCTGCTGTCATTCCTGCTGTTTTCTCATTAGCAGCATCTGTTGTTTAAGAAGAAAACAGCTAAAACGGCACCAAACCCTAAAATTATACCTCAGTTAATTTTCGAGAAAAATTCATTCTTTTGATTTTAGGATTTGATGTATAGAAAATTCCGTTACATTTTAGTCACTGAAAGCGTCGTAAACACACGTGTAGGTTTTTAAATGCTTCAGAACACATGTTGAGTGATTCCCATCCCTGATGAGGCTGCAGTTTCAGCTGATCTGTTCACTGAAGCATCCATCAGAGCACCTGTCTTTAAGACGAATCCCATCTTGACATTTGAACCACTTGACCTTTTTTCCTTAGGACACCCTGGAGTACAAGAAGAAGCAAAGGCCTCTGAAGATCCGCATGTTGGATGGCACAGTGAAGACCGTCATGGTGGATGACTCCAAGATCGTCAGTGACATGCTTATGACTATCTGTGCTAGAATAGGTGGGTTCTCTGAACATCTCTGACATGTGCAGGCGGCATCGTGTCTTCTTGTTCCTGTCAGTTTTAACACAGTCCTCGTGTTCAAATGTCAGGTATCACGAACTATGATGAATACTCACTGGTGAGAGACATCGGTGAGGAGAAGAAGGAGGAAAACACAGGCACACTGAAGAGAGACAAGACTCTTCTACGAGATGATAAGAAGATGGAGAAGCTAAAGCAGAAGCTCCACACAGACGATGAGTGTAAGTGCAATCTGAAACACCTGCCACACAGAAAACATCGTGTATGTTGTATAAATGAGCTAAAATGCAAAAAAACCCCATTTATCTTATGAAATCATACCATCGTTATTTAAAGAGCAAGTCACCCCCAAATCACATTTTTTTGCTGAAAAACTATACAAACGAGTCTAATTGTGTTGTACTCACCTGTGGGCAATAATTTGGCACTTTAGTGCATCTTAGGTCAAATTTAAATATTCTGTCTAAAACCGTCAGTGTTGTGCCGTCTTCAGGTAAAAACTGCACAGCATTTGAATTAAAATCTGCCATCGCTATTGGCTAAGATGTACGCTGATGTTAGCAGGTACATTATGATGTCACAATGTCGTTGTGAGTCTGTGTGTGTGTATTTGTTAGCAGCTCCGCCCTCTCGGTCTCCCGGGCAACAGCATCTGTTGCATTTTTCAAACAGGAAGTGGGAGTGGAGTAAAGCCTGGGGCAGACTGGAGGCGGACACGCAGCGTCACACCCGAGCCGTCTTTTTAAATAGAAGCCATTATAGTTAATGAGAGTGGGCACACAGGGAGCGCCGCGCCGCGTCCCAGAAGCGCTGCGCCAAGGCGTTGAAAATCGATGCCAGTTCTATCTCAAGCGCTGCGGCTGTTTACTGCAACATTGTAGAGTACTTTACAACGTACATTACGACGCAGAACGGCTTTACAGCACCCAGTATTAAAGCCGGCTGGGTTGGTGTTAACCCAAACCCTAACCCAGCCGCAGTTTTAATAACTTTAAAGTACTATTGATTTTAAAATATTCAAAATAGCGTACTTACCCATTTTTAATAAATTCAAGTCTCACAAAACATGACGGCAAGTCCCATCACGTATAAACACGAATAACAGTGTGGAACACTGTTTTAATAAATACATTTGCATGTGTCTCTAGTAGGAATGCATGCTTTGTAAGACGTATTCTGGGAATAAAAACACCGGTGCACCATTTCCAGGCGCTATAAAACTGCCACATCAGAGGAGAGCTTCATACGACAGCATTTGAGTCTTATTTCCTGATATTTTGACAGCTCAACTCTGATTGGCTGACATCAACATGACTACCATTGACTTGGTTTTCTTTGTAACGTTGATGTTTTATCTCCACAAAAAACACAAGCCTGGAGGAGTTCTGCTGTGTGGTGGAGTAGCTAATGCTAACAGTTAGCTTCTACTAGTAGAGACAAGTGACGTTCTCTGCTGATTCCTGGATGCTAAACCAACAACAGCCTTCCCCGTTGTGAGTGAAGATGGGTGAGTCGATGAATGTTAAGCGACAGTGTGACGTAGATCTGTCAGGATTTTCAAATCCTAGAGTTTCATCATCTGTTTTCTTTCGGAAGCTAATGCAGGAGACATGTGTAGGAGATGAGAAAAACTGCATGTAAAACTCAGAGTGACTGAATATAATCAGAAATAATCATTAAAAATGATTTTTCAGAGTTCCACACCTTTAAACTACTGTTCAGATCAAGTGTTTCATTCAGAAACACTCCCAACAACAGCACAGATGGAGAAACTGAAAGGCACTGGTTGGATCAAAGAGTGGAAGAGAAACCAGAAACCCACCAAACCTCACTAGAATGACGGTGTGTGTGTGTGTGTTTGTTGCAGAAACTTATGTTTTAGCTCGTCTCACATCAGGGTTTATATATCCTGTAGAAGTTTTAATATAAACTTTTAGTCTACAAATGTGTTCTCTTGAAACAAACCTACAAAAAGAGTTGTAGTGTAGAACCAACAGAATAAAAGTCATCTTGTTAATAAACAAGTGTACAGTGAAAGTGCAGGAGGCAGGTTGGTTTGACACCACCTATGAAGTTTCTACCTGTTGGTCGTGGTTAAAGAGAGCAAAGCTGATTATTTAGATCACAGGCCACTTACTGTGACCACTGCTCCTCGTAGTGAACTGGCTGGACCACGGCAGAACGCTGAGGGAACAGGGCGTGGAGGAGACGGAGATGTTGCTGCTGAGGAGGAAGTTCTTCTATTCAGACCAGAATGTGGACTCTAGAGACCCCGTTCAGCTCAACCTGCTTTATGTTCAGGTAACTTCAAGATACTTTGTTGCTTTTAGTTTTACTTTATAGACAATAATCTGAAATCCTGCAGAAGCTCATCAGGAAATATAGCTCTGGCTTTCATTAAGAGTTAGAGTCTAGTAGAGACAAAAAAAAATTGTGTGTGTGTGTTTTCAGGCTCGTGATGACATTCTGAACGGATCTCATCCCGTCTCCTTTGACAAGGCCTGTGAGTTCGCCGGCTATCAGTGTCAGATCCAGTTTGGTGACCATAACGAGTCCAAACACAAGCCCGGATTCTTGGAGTGAGCTTGAGTTTGTTTGTATTCATTCATATCTGAATGGCTGCTGTTCGTGTTTCATTCTGGGTCGACTTTTTTATTTTCAGTTTAAAAGAGTTCCTGCCTAAAGAATACATCAAGAACAAAGGAGAGAGGAAAATCTTTCAGGTAAAAACCCCATCAGGAATCTGTTAGACTGACTCGGCTACAGTCATGCTGCAGACAGACCAGATCTGATCAGAACCAATCAGACCCAAAGCAACCTGAGTCTGAACGGTCTTGTCTCATCTGACCTTTACATCACTTAAGTGTGACGGGTGGAGTACATGTGCTCTGGAGGAGGTGGGAAGCAGTAGGACCAAATGTAAACAACACCTGAAAGCTGCTTCCTTTCATCACCTGCTCATAAATGCGTCGGCTCTGATAGCACAACATCAGGGTGGATTCGGCTGTTGACATGTGTATGTCCATGTTTAGTTCTGCAACACAGCGTGCTCCGTGTCATACGGGTCACCTCAAGGCCATATACTGTTCTCACTGGATGTAAATTAGAATGAGAACAGCCACATGAACACATCAGAACTGAGCATTACGGAAGGTTGTCTGTCTTGTTTTTAGAAAATCAAGTACCTAAGGTCATCATTTGAGTCTGCAGATACACTACCTGTGGTCTGAACTGAATCTATATCAACCTTTCTCAGTAATCCAATGAGTTGATCTGATCCTGGTTTCTTCCGCCTCTGCAGGCACATAAGAACTATCAAAACATGACAGAAATCGAGGCCAAAGTGAGCTACGTGAAGCTGGCTAGGTCCCTGCAGACGTACGGCGTGTCCTTCTTCCTGGTGAAGGTGAGAGATCATCACCTTTGCTGTCCTGCCTTGAACTGTGAATTTACTGTGAAAATTTCTATTCTTCATCAGCTTTACTCGTAATTGAATATTAAAACAAATAAAGCTTTTGCAGCACCAGTTAATTAGATTTATTTATTTATTTAATGAGAATCCCATTAGAGGAAGTTTACTCTTTTTGTTGGCATCAGGGCGGAGCCTGTGAAGCCAGCAGGCAGGTTGAACGTAGGCCTATGATCGGTGGTTTAAGTTTCAAACGACCAAAAATGGTGCAAAGCAGAGTCCTAATTTTTTTACTTGTTGTTTCTGAGCTGCCAACAATCATAGATTCATAAAACATTCAAAATGCAACACCTTGTCTGATGACACTGTTAGCACAGCGGTTCCCAAACTTATTTAGCCGCGCACCCCCTTCTATGTCCCGACCATGTTGACACCCCCCCAGCCCCCACATCAGGGCATATATATATATATATATATATATATATATATATATATATATATATATATATATATATATATATATATGTGTATATATGTGTATATATATATATATATATATATATATATATATATATATATAGATATATACATATATATATATATATATATATATATATATATATATATATATATAGATATATAGATATATATATATATATATATATATAGATATCTCAGACGTCAAGCTAAACAGTCACTCGACAGACAGGGTTAAAAAAAATATGATCAATCTCGAATTTAATACGTCATCCCAAAATAGAAGCTAATATCTTAACTTGACCTTGAATGAAAAATGTTGTTATAAAAACTCTTAAAGTTTTTTTATCACGGAGGAGGCAGCGCTCATTTCTGACTTCAGTCTGATGGCACCGCGCTGGAGTTTGTGCAGCGTGCGCTTATTGAAACTGTGTGTGTGTGTGTGTTTGGCACAGCTCCATGAGCTGCTCCAGTCACCGCGTCTCGTTATTGGCGCTATTTAAACCAATGTTGTAAAATTACCTCTGCCCAGCCCAGATGTGCTCACATGTGCACCCGTGAGTCGTGGTTCCGCTGGAACGCATCTGACCTCTGACAGACGCACTCTGAACTTCAGATCTTCAGTGCGCTGTTAATAGCCTGACACGTTTAGAATGCTGTCCCACAGTCAGTGTGCTAATATAATAACATAATAATGCTAAAATGCTCAGATGGGAATCATTTCTTGATTATTTAGTTACATCCACAATGTTCTGTGTGTGAGGTTTACAATGTCAGAACACCTGCATGAGACAGGGTGTTAATTACAATCTGCCAGAATAACTCACCACCTTCAGATTCCTCCAACACCGTTAAAAATGATCAAATACGGAACATATCTTGCTATTGACAGCGTGTGCAGGCCAGAGCACATTATTATTATGAAGCTAGGGCACATGCAGAGGACAAACACACACACACACACACACACACACACACACACACACACACACGAGCAAAATATACTTGTTTTCAATTACATTTATTGTGACCACTTACTTTTTCTTAGGCCCACCCACAAATGAGTTTCTGGCTACGCTAATGGTGACATCTGACAGACTTCTCTGAGCTCCGCAGCCATTACACTTTTCACCTCGCGCACCCCCTAGCGGCAGCTCATGCACTCCACACTTAGGGAATCCCTGTGTTAGCAAGTCTTGTTAGCAACAGCAGGATTGTTTACAACAGTTGTAATTCCATTTTCAACCAGTAGAGGGAAGAAACAGACAACTTGGTTACTTTAAAGCTGTTATAAGGACTTTACAGAACAAGCCAAGTTTTGAACACAGAACACTCGCCCCTCCCCTCGGGTGTCTTCCCTGAGGCACTTCTGCTGGATGAAACAAGATAGTGCAAATGGTTTATTAACCCTCCCACTGTCTTTATGGGTGACCCCACGAGGACAGTTGACCACTGAGCAGAACTGATGTTTTATCCCTTGAGGTCCATGTGGCAGGGGTGAGGAGTGAGCACCACCTCACCCCTGCCACATGGACCTCAAGGGATAAACCATCAGTCCTGCTCAATGGTCAACTGTCCTCGTGGGGTCACCCATTAGGACAGTGGGGGTGTTAAAAGGATAGTGCTAAAACACCAGTCACCACTTCCAATTGTCTTTTCTTGTCCGTGACTTCAAACAGTGTGGGACTCATTTGAGATTGTCCTAAAGTTGAAGTGGTAGCAGTCGGCTGTTTCTCCTTCTCTGATATTATTGAGCGGAGAACCTCTCACACCAGTGGTGTTCTGCTGCAAAATACATGAGTGTGTGTGTGAGTGGAGGACCCTGTGCAGTGCAGGAGTGCAGCGGTTCAGTCAGACCAACAACTGGATGGTCAAATAGTTGCTTAGGTCTTAAACGTGTTGGTGGTTTTTAGACAAATGCAAGAGAACCACTTTATCAATTTTTTCAGTCCCCACAATATATTTAATAGCTATACTATGTTAGAATGTTGTTAAAAGGCATGAAAAATTGTTTAAGCTAATTAGTTTTCCTAATTTGCCATTGCAGCTTTAACAGCTGAACTATCTGTGTTTGTAAAGAGAGAGTGTTACGACCAGGTGTTGGTGTTAAAATGAGGGACAAGGGCGTAACACAGAAAGGCATGTGCAGGATGGTAAAATTCAAACAATGTTTTAATATAAAAGGATTTCAAATTCTCAGTGCTCCATTTTTAATTCAAAGTACCTTAAATAAACAGTGTATTGGCTCAGGTTTCACATTTAAAACAAGCAAATAGCTAACCTCAAACTAAAAAATCAAGGTCCACTGACCACACTCAGATGTTTGAGGCAGGAGGGAGCCAGCACCCATCTGGTCCCTCGCCTGTTTTAAAATTCTAAAAGCACAAAGCTTTTAGAGCAGGGGTGCCCAATCCTGGTCCTGGATGGCCGGTATCCAGCAGGCTTCAGTTTTAACTCTGCTTCAGCACACCTGATTTCAATCAGCAGGTGATTAACAGGCTTCTGCAGACCCTGATGAGCTACTGCACAAGTGATTCAACCACAGAATCAAGTGTGTTGGAGCAGAGAAACCACAAAACCTTCTGGATACCGGCCCACCAGGACCATGATTGGGCACCCCTGTTTTAGAGAATCAGAGCTCCTTCACTAAAAACCATTAAAAGCTAATAAAACATACAAGGAGCATGTGGGTGCTGCTGGCAACTCTGCCATCTTTATACTCAGGTGATAAACAACAAAATCCGGTGCAGCTGTTTCTGCTGAGGGGAGGAGCGGTAGCCCAATTTGGGTGAGCCTCTGTCCTGTTGAAGGACTCTGGATGGCGTCAATTTGAATCAACAGCTCCTGCTCCAAGGGCAAAGAGGCAACAACCGTAAAGTCTAGTTTATGCTTCTGTGTCTGCGTTAGTACGGAGAAGCGCAACGCCATTATCCGCCCTCGCGAGCCTGCTGGAGGGCCCTCAAAAGGATGGAGGGAGTCGAGCCCACTTTTCTAAACACCCGTCAAACGAGACAGAGAACGCAAGCTTGTGATTGGTCAGGGCGGCGCTTTTGTCAACAGCACCGCCATAGCACCCTCAAAAATAAAGATGTGTAGTGGCAGACAAGAGCAGATTGAAGAATGCCTTGCAGAAAAACTTATAAAAATATGAAAGTTTATTGACCCGTGACTGGAGAAGTAAAAGATGTGGAGCTGATGCTGAAGCATGAATCAAGTGTTTACAGAAGCAGGTGTCTTTGGGACTGCCTTGCACCTTTCAGCGGAGACTTACAGCTGTGTTTTGTCATAAAGTAGTCCAAAGTCTAAAATGGCGCCTGTGATTCCTCTATGCTGCTAATTAATTTCTGATTGTCTAGGTCACCAAGGAGAACTGGGATCACTACTGAGTCATTTTAAGTATTTTTTTTACTCACAACCCTAGTTGGATCCATTCACTTCCTGTGTTTTATGCTAAGCTAAAGCTAAAGGACTACAGTCGGGTCAGGAGAAGGACTGGGCTGGTTAAAAATAGTTTTTATCTAACTCTGGGAAATATATCAACAGACAAAATTTCAATTTTGGGTGGAATATCCCTTTAAAGGAAATTCACGGTACTTGTAAGAATTTATTGACTAGATGAAAACAAATAGAACATAAATTTTCAGCAAAAATGATGAAGTGTCTTTATTAAAATGTTTATTAAACTAGAATGTTTCACTGTCCCTTAAAAAACAGTTTCTCTGATCAGTGGGATTCCCTGGACCAGTCAGGCCAGTTCTCATCAGCTCCGCATGATTTAGTTTAGATTCTTGGTAAAAGGGATGAAAATACAATCTGCATTGTTATTTATGTCATTTTCACATGAACACCCACCTGTTGTTGATTAGTTGATGCATTACAATACTTTGACGGAAATCTGGACTTTTTCTGTATAGATGGGATGAAAACGCAAGCCTATTGAAGTTACTAAGCATTTTGTTTACAGTCTCTAAACAAACAATTTATTCTTCACTGTTTATTTTTGAAAAGAAGAGATGTCAGAGCTGGTATAAGGAAGGCTTCTAAAATTCTCAATTCACACATTCTTGTCTCAGAGGCATCAGCATGTACTTTAAGAATACTATAAATGACTAAAGACTCCTTCTTTGTTGATGAGGGTGAATCAGGTGATATCCAGCCGCGCTGGTGACTCATTTCCACTTAAAATGTTGTTTTTATTCTCCACCCGTAGGAGAAAATGAAGGGTAAGAACAAACTGGTGCCTCGTCTGCTGGGAATCACCAAGGAGAGCGTGATGAGAGTAGACGAGAAAACCAAGGAGGTGATCCAGGAGTGGAGCCTGACCAACATCAAACGCTGGGCCGCCTCGCCCAAGAGCTTCACCCTGGTGAGAGAGAGAGGAGCACGACTGGTGTTGATGATGCAAAGTCCCAGTCTCAATCCATAACAGTAACAGGTGGACAGTAAAAAAGTGGATGTCTTCATGAAGGGGTCAGGTTTGGCAGGAAGCTATTATTCCTGCTGATGTAACCCTGTGGTTTGAAACTGACAGCGGGTTTTAGGGGTAATTTCACATAAACCACTTTGATGTGACAGACTGCAGCTGTTTTATGATGGCAGCAACACACTTTGGAAACGGGGCCATTAGAAATCTGCTGCTGTCTGCCCTGGTGCAGCTTCCTACATACTTATGCTGAACCCACTTGCATGTCTGTAACTGAGCCTGAGCAGAAAACACACAGTCTAAGCAAAGAGCACTTTTGCAGCATGTCAGAGAAGACCTGATCCTGAAGGTGTTCCTCTCTTTGATCTCCTGACAGGATTTTGGAGACTATCAGGACGGTTACTACTCTGTGCAGACCACTGAGGGGGAGCAGATAGCTCAGCTCATCGCTGGGTACATCGATATCATCCTCAAAAAGGTCAGTGGGAGTAAAGACCAGCTGTACCAGGTTTCGATTATGTTGTGGCTGCTGTGTGATCCCATTCATTCCTTCTTCCAGAAAAAGAGCAAAGACCACTTTGGCCTTGAGGGAGATGAAGAGTCAACCATGCTGGAAGATTCAGTTTCACCCAAAAAGTAAACAGGAAAATGTTTCTGACTCAGTTTTAAAGATGTAGAGCCAAACTGTGATGTGTTGGTGGCTCTTAGGGGTCCACATGAGCTCTGAGGGCTGGTTAAGACTAACTTTATTATCAGAATTGGACCAAAATGATTAGAACTCCATCATTCCTCACTAAGATTATTTAAGCTGATCGATGAGAAACCTCTGCACCATGACAACATTACCACGTTCATTTATTAATGAAGATGCATTTATAATTATGTAGATTCTAATTTTCCTCAATATATTAGTGTTATTATAATTATAATAATAATTTAGTTTCATTTTTGGTATATCTTTATAGTAATTTAAGTTACAGTGATCCCTCGTTTATCGCGTACTATATTGTACTATATACTACGTACTAGTACTGTATTGAATTATCGTATGATCACATCCTCTTTGTGGGTAAAACTCAAGAAAAAATTTTTTTTTACTTGGTTTTTTTTATAGTTTTATTACAAAAAGTGCATTTTATGATGAAATTGATGAAAAAAACAGGAATTTCTTGATATTTCACATAGGAAAATACCGCAAATCTGTGAAAAATAACACGAATCGGCGAATTTCCCTTGAATAAGGCTCCAAAGAAAAAATCCGCAAAGTCGTGAATCCGCGATAAACGAACCGCGAAGTAGCGAGGGATCACTGAATTCTATTTAGTGATGGATCATTTTTGAATGACTTTTTGACTTTAGGTTATTCTTTTCTTCATGCTGGTCACATGTTGGTCTCCTGTCTTTAACATGCTATTGAAGGACAATAAAATAATTGAATGAAGGAATTATATTAACGCTGATTAGTACAAATCTCTCTTTCATCTAAAACCGTTTATCTCATGTGGTTCCAGGTCCACGGTTGTGCAGCAGCAGTTTAATAAGATGGGCAGGGTGGAGACGGGCTCGGTGGCGCTGCCAGCTATCATGCGGTCTGGAGCTGGAGGTCCAGAAGGCTTCCACATGGGTTCCATGCCCCAGGCCAAACAGCACATCACCAGTGGGCAGATGCACCGAGGACACATGCCTCCGCTGGTATAAGGAAGGCTTCTAAAATTCTCAATTCAGACCTATTATGGAAGAGGGCGGGTAGTGTTGGTGGAGGATGTTAGGACAAAGAGCATGCATGTGTGTGATGAGCTTAAAGGTGACAATAAGAAAAACCAATACCTTTCCTTTTAATTAGCAGCTAAACAAACTGCAAACATACTGTGTAACTGAGATCACAGAGATGTCCTGATGAACCGAATCTCTTCTGTTTCCTCGTTAGACATCAGCACAGCAGGCTCTGACTGGAACCATCAACTCCAGCATGCAGGCGGTCCAGGCAGCGCAGGCCTCTCTGGACGACTTCGACACCCTGCCCCCATTAGGAACTGATGCTGTAAGATTAATCCTGGTTTAAAATCAGATGGTTAACCATTACCTGTGAAGTGTTTGATTCCAGGCATCAGGTGGAATCAGCACATCTGAAAATGACAGAAAGCAAAAATCTGATTTAAAAACTCGGTGTACTCACACGAGTTCTCGTTAAGTCCCCTTTAAAGGAATCAGCCTGATCTACATGGGAATCCCTCACTAGAAACATCTAGATGTAGATCAGGCTGATTTAGTGCTACAGATGTGGTCACATCTGACCTGTGAGTCAGTCAAGGCTAATGGAAGACAGAATAAATGATCAGAAAAAACCCACATTATTGCTTTATTCCTGCAGCAGTTCTTCAGTCTGTGAGAGGTTTGTTTCTCTGTTTAAGGCGTCTCAAGCTTGGCGCAAAAACAAGATGGACGAGTCCAAGCATGAGATTCATTCTCAGGTGGATGCCATCACAGCAGGAACAGCCTCCATGGTCAATCTCACAGCAGGTAAATGCAGCAGAACTACTGCTTCTACCATTTTTCCCAAGATTTGTTAAATGGTGTATTATTTTGAGGTGAATATAAGTCTGAATACATTTAGAACATGTAAGGTTGGCTAGGATGTAGTAGGAGTGTTATAGTCAGGTGAATGTTGTTTTATTTTCTCTCCTGTGCTGGAGATGTTCTGGTCTAACAGATTCTTCTTTACTTCACTGATGTTTGGAGACATCCAGGTTCTGATCTGGACCAGACTGGATCTTTGCAGAACCATGACTCTTTTCTCAGTTTAACTGCTATAGATCTACTGAAGGTTTTGGGATCATGGTTCCGTTTGATGACCCGGCGTGGTCCACTCTTCAGCTGTCAGACAGACCGTCCCACATTAGAATACTCTAGAATAAATTGTTAACCGGATTATTTCATGATGGACTCAGTGAGTCCTGTAGCTGCAGAACCAGCCCACACCATCAGCCCTCCACCTCCGTGCTGACATCTGGGATCAGCTGTTCGTGCTGCTGTGCATTGTGGGTAAACATCTCTACTTTGATCTCATTGTTCCAGACGTCTTGTGGTTCAGATGAATCCTCTCCAATCCGAGCTGCAGGTTCTTCAGAGAGTCGTAGTGTCATGCTCTTTGACCTTTAACCTACTATCTAAGGCATGTAGACTCTGAATTAAAGTTCTCAGGTTTCTAGTCATTTCTCTTGAGCATTGACCTCTGACCTCCTGGGGGGATCATCAACTGCCTGAAATGGTTTCTAATTTTCAATAATCTTTCTCTCAATAGATTGGACTTTAAATGACCTTTGACCTTGGACTTTAAATGACCTTTGACTTTTTCCAGCAACAGTTGCTTCTCTGAGGTCATTGAACATGTTTTTCCTCCTTGTGTTCACACACACCTGTATACTCCAGAGCAGCAGATTGACTGAACTGCTTTAAAGGAGGAACTGATGATCTGCTGATCAATAATCAGCAGCAACTGGCTGATACTTGGCTTAGAGACATTGATGGTTCTCCTACATGGTTCATAGAACACGTCTTCTTGATTATTTGCAATAAACGTGTTTTCGATTGTAGCCGATGACAGAAAGGTGTAGGAAGATGTTTTCTGTACTGTTTCCCTGCTTGACCTGCATCACACAGGATGCCACTTTATCTTTTAACCTGTAATCTTGTGAGAATATGTTTCTAATAAGTTAAAGAGAGAATAAAAGCAGATATCCATCTGTGTCTAAAGGAGATCCAGCAGAGACGGACTACACAGCAGTGGGCTGTGCTGTCACCACGATCTCCTCCAACCTGACAGAGATGTCCAAAGGTGTGAAACTACTGGCAGCACTGATGGAGGACGAAGGAGCTAATGGACAGCAGCTGCTGAGTGCTGCCAAGAATCTGGCCTGTGCCGTGTCCGACATGCTGAAGACGGCACAGCCAGCAAACACAGAGGTATGCAGGGAGCTGAAGCATGCACACATATTCCTTTCGTCCCCTCTTTGATCTAAATGAGCCAATGCGTTTCTGTTCCAGCCTCGTCAGAACCTGCTGCAGGCTGCAGGGAATGTGGGCCAGGCCAGCGGTGAGCTGCTGTCTCACATTGGAGAGACTGACACTGATCCACAGTTCCAGGTATGTCCACCTGTAGAGTGTTCAGAGTTTGTGTCAGAGAAAAAAAAAAGTGTTTAGCTTCATCTTTAGAGAGTGACACTCATTTACTAACTTCATATATATATATATATATATATATATATATATATGAAACTTTACTTTCAGGAAGTGCACGTATTTTCTGTTATGGAAATGACAACATCGGTACTTTAACTTTCTCAGCTGTAGCTGAACGGTCAGGCTGAACTATTGAAAAATAGGAATATTTTATGTCTTTAGCAGGAAATTAACTTCCTGAAAACATCATCACACTAGGGATAGTGGCAGCCAACAAGTTTAGACTTACCTCCTGTTTATGCTGTCACGGTTGCTAGGCAACAGGACATACACAAGTGTGGCACAAACACCAGCCTGCGTCGACCGGGTAAATGGCCTGTGTTTGACATAGCGCCTTCTAGAGTCCTAGAACCCACCAAGATGCTTTACAATACAATCAGTCATTCATCCATTCACACACACATTCACACCCTGAAGTCCTGGGGCGCACTGACCGACGCGAGACTGCAGAGCACAGGCGCCACTGGCCCCTCCGACCACCACCAGCAGGCAAGGCGGGTTAAGTGTCTTGCTCAAGGAGCAGAATTCTCTTGCCTGGAGCCGGGTCGATCCTATGACCCTCTGACTACTGGACAACCCTCTCTACCTCCTGAGCTGTCCCAGTACTTGAATTTGGACTCAGCCGCTTGTGTTGTTGGCTAACGGCTAACGTGTGGAAACACAGTTATGTGTGTGTGTGTGAACTTGGTCCACAGCTGTGCTGAATGTTTTATATCCAAAAATACAAACACGTGTTCCATTGCATGCCTAATATATATACACATACATCCTACCACAATAATAAAATACAGCAGTACTTTTAGGTGGTAGTAGAGTATTTGAGCTTGTTCTGTTGTTTAGTTCATGCTTCTGTTTGATGTGACAGCTTCACCGGGGTACAGGATCTTTCAGGGGTGCCAGATGGAGAACCCCTCCCTATGTTGAAATGCTGGTAACTAAAGTAGTTCTATAAGGTCGATCAATAATCAGTATGTTAGCATATTTATTCGTGTTTTTGTGTGAGGTCATTCATTGGTGACATTAGTGACTGAACCAGGCTGCAGCTGTAAGAACAGGACTCGTCTTTAATGGTGCTGAAGCCAACATCCCCACCATACTCAGCCTGGTTTAGACACTCGTCTGTTTCTTTAACACCTGATTTAGGAGCAGTACCTTTTGATTTGCAGTCTGACTTTAGTTGGAACTGTCTTTTTGGTTTAGACATTTTTTAAATTATAAAAGAAAATGTGAAAATGGTTAGCCATATTTAGATGGGTAATTCACACCTGCAGCGTTTAATCTGTTTAAATGAAAGCCAGATGTGTTTTCCCTTGATGCGGTTCATTTTTTCAGGTGTGTACACAGTAATCGAACTAAGCTAAACAGTTGCACCCACACCTGTTGGAGGAGGGGGCCTGGGTTCAGCTCCAGTAGAACATCTGACGAGTTTGTTCATAGTGTGAATGTGATCTGACCCGGAGCCGACGCAACAATCACACACACTCAGCAAGTTTGAGCCAAATATAAAGCTAGTTGATGTTAGGCGTGTTGACACTCTTCTTACATTCCTTCTATTTCACTAGTTTTAGTTTTAAATTGAAATTGAAATCATGTCACGTTCGTTTGAATCAAGATTCATTTCCCTGATTTGTTTTTGTGTCTGATGACCACAAACCAATACTTCAATGGTCCAATTCACAAAATAACCTGAAGGGACGAGGTGCTCTTCTCCATTCCTTATATGTCTGATGGGTTCTGTGATTGACCTTTAATCGATCACTGATAAAATGATTAAAATCAACAAAGCAGCCAGCACTAATCAGCGGCTGATTTAATCGTGGCGACCGTCTTCTTCAGTAGTAATAAACGTTCTGTTTATGTTTCATGTCGACAGGATATGTTGATGCATCTTGCCAAAGCTGTGGCCAACGCTGCAGCTGCTCTGGTGCTCAAAGCCAAGAATGTGGCTCAGAAGACAGAGGACTCGGCTCAGCAGAACCGGGTCATCGCAGCAGCCACACAATGTGCCCTGTCCACATCTCAGCTGGTGGCCTGCACCCGGGTGAGTGGGTGTCCCTGTTGATTATATACTAGTCGGCCATAACATTATGACCACTGTAAAGTCTCATATCAGCGCTCCAACATGCTCAACAACTCTATTAATTAAACGGTCACTGCACAATTTTTAATGCTTATCAAAAACGATCAACAGTGATAATAATCTAAATAGTCTTGTCTATAGATCAAATGTAAAATGTTGGGAACAGGTGAAATGGGATGCAGCCCAAGACTCAACTGAGATCTAATGGAGTTAGTGCCTTAAAGAGTCATTGTAGTTTCATGCTTCTAACACAATCGGTGCGTCCTGAAGGTGGTGGCTCCAACCATCAGCTCCCCAGTGTGCCAGGAGCAGCTGATCGAGGCCGGTAAGCTGGTGGCCAAGTCCGTAGAGGGCTGCGTGGAGGCGTCTCATAGGGCCACTGGAGACGAGGGTCTGCTCAAACAGGTGGGTCAGGCCGCTACGGGGGTCACTCAGGCCCTCAACGAGCTGCTTCAGCACATCAAACAGTACGCCAGTGGGGGACATCCCATCGGACGGCATGGAGAAGCCACCGACCGCATTCTTGATGTTACAGAGAACATCTTCAGCTCCATGGGAGACGCTGGTGAGTCAGTGGCTGAGTTGGACAGCTTTGGCTTATGAATGATGAGTCATCTGTAACTCTGCCCTTGTATCATCTAGAGGGATTCTCCGTATTTGTTGGGAACATTTAGCCTTTGTGATATTAAAAAAAACTCACATCAAACGTTTGGCCAGGTTCAGAGAGATACCAGACAACACACAAAATAAATACAGTAAATGTTGGCAAGTAAATTCTGGTGCACTGCTTTATTGATTCAGTATCATAACACAGAATATTGCGACATTTCAGTGTATCAGTATGGAACATTTTATTAAAATGCTATATTTAAAAAAAAACACCTTAGTGGGGCATTTAAAGGTGTGCAGAATTCAATGTACAGTTTCTCATTTTAAAGCTATATTTAATCAAATTTTCATTTTGTCGGGCACAACACTGGGTTTATGTTTACATCTACTGGCCACTAGAGGGCACCGTTGTGCTGAAAAGTCCGCTCGGCAAGGCGAGGCTGGGATTGTGTAAAATGGCAGACTTGACAAGTCAAGCAGCTGATTCTGAGTCCAAAAGATGTTCTAACGGTGAATACTGTTGTAAAATAAACTTATTAGTAGAAATTAGTCCTTATCCTGTACAAATTATCTCTGGACACGGTGCTGGCTGGTCACTTAACAGGTCGGCAGTGAACCAACACCCCGACGGCTGGAAAGTGTTTTCTGTTGCTGCAGCTACCACCTCTAAACACTAGATGTCGCCAGAGTGTCCGTGTTTTGAATTCAAAATTTAAAGTAAAAAAATAAAGTTATATTTTAACATTTTGTGGTTGTTTCCACCTCAGGACGAGGCTAAGGTGAAAAAATGCTCAAACTGTAGGAGGCGTGAAAACATGTAAAGAATTAAAGTCGTAGAAGGAATCCCTGTCACCCGCCACCTTTCACGAGTTGAAACGATCATCAGATGTTGAGAAATGTAGGAATATTGTAAAAATCTTGTGTGACTTGTTAGCATTCAGACTTTCAGCTACTAGTAAGTTAAACCTCATTTCATGATTGGCTTAACTTTGCTTTTCTAGTCTGTAATTTTAGTTTTTCTTCCATTTGCTCTCAATCCTCAGGTGAGATGGTTCGTCAGGCTCGCATCCTCGCCCAGGCCACGTCTGATCTGGTCAACGCCATCAAGATGGATGCAGAAGGAGAATCTGACCTGGAGAACTCCCGGAAGCTTCTTTCTGCTGCCAAGCTTCTGGCTGATGCCACCGCAAGGATGGTGGAGGCTGCTAAGGTCTGCCGTCTCCTTCACTTAGGCCAATGAACTAGACGTTTATGTCAGCCTGCCGGTGTGTACTGAGGTGTCCGACTGATTCTCCAGGGTGCAGCTGCAAACCCCGACAGCGAGGAGCAGCAGCAGAAGCTTCGTGAGGCTGCTGAAGGTCTCCGAATGGCCACTAACGCTGCTGCCCAGAATGCCATCAAGAAACGGCTAATCAATAAGCTAGAGGTAAAAATAGAAACCAGGAAATGGAAGGGAAACACCTGGAATGTGTCTGCCTTCTCAGAGTTATAGGAGTCATCAAACAGCTGCGTTTCTGGCTCGTACATCGAAGTTCAGAGGGAATGACGGTGCATGGATTACCCTCATTTTAGTCTCAATCTGGTCTCGAACTTCCCCCAAAGCTATCTCACATTTCACATAAAATAAAGTTAGAGGAGTTCCAGACACATTCCTGACGCCCCTGAGGACTCGGAGACTAGTTGGAGAGATAATTTGACTTGTTTTTCTTATAGATGTTCAGAATTTCTGCAAGGTCCTGAGACTCAGGCCATCAAATTCATAGCCATTGTGAAAGTTCTGAGACATTTTGGGAACTCCTTCAGAAATATTCTCATCTTGTCTCCAACAGCTGCAGCCAACCGAGTTGCTGTGTGTTTAGATCAAACTACATCTATCAAAACAAATTTCATGAAACTTGCTGGAACTATTGAAGAACCTGTGATCTTATGGTGCAAATTATTATCACTCCCAACTGGTGGAGGGAACATGCACCTGTTGGTTTAATGACTGATGTGATGTTGGATTATAATCTGATGCTAGCATCTATACAACAGTTTTATACTGACACATCTGATTCTGGTTTTCTGGCAGAATGCAGCCAAACAAGCAGCTGCAGCAGCCACCCAGACCATAGCCGCTGCCCAGCATGCTGCCTCTTCCAACAAGAACCAGGCCGCCCAGCAGCAGCTGGTCCAGAGCTGCAAGGTATTCCCACTGAGATTAGATTCTCCCAACAAACGACGCAGAAAACATGATTGATTTCATATGAAACTCAGGGTTTCCCAAAGTTCACAGGTCATTAGGGGTGGGGCACCAACAGAAACTAACATGATCCAGAAAAGATTGCAGGAATGAAGATATAAAATGATCTAGATGAAAGTTTATTTATGCTGTGTTGTGTAATATTGTCATTGACCTTTACTAGTTAAACAATGAATAATTTATTTACTTTTCTTTATCAAGTATCAGTCTGACTCCCCCTTTGTGAAGAAACCGCAGTCACACTAATTCACCTACAAACATTTTAAAACCAGACATTTCTGGTTTTTAAGACCTGTGTCAAAGTCCGCTTGGATCCTGATGCTGCAGAGAGAAGACGCTGACGATCCAAAATCAATCAAACGTCGCATCAGAGCAACAATTTACACCAAAAGATCCTCATTCGTCCCCTCTCCTGTGTGTGCTGTAACCAGGTGGTGGCAGACCAGATTCCTCAGCTGGTCCAGGGAGTCCGAGGCAGCCAGGCTCAGCCTGACAGTCCCAGTGCTCAGCTTGCCCTCATCGGTGCCAGTCAGAACTTCATGCAGGTGACTCACACGTTTCCATCACTGAAGATGCAGCCAGATTATTCAGTGTTGTTTTTATTTGTATTTCTTTAGTTTGATGATTATTTGCCAGGTAACAAGGACCAGATGCTGCTGTGCTTCTGTTTCTGAGTTCCTGCTGAAAACTCAGACCTATTGAAGGTTCAGTTTTTTTCTCTCCTTGTCTTCATCAGCCTGGAGCCAAGATGGTTACCGCCTGCAAAGCCACAGTTCCCACCATCAGTGACCAGGCGTCGGCCATGCAGCTCAGCCAGTGTGCTAAAAACCTGGCCAGCGCCCTGGCAGAACTTCGCACTGCTGCCCAGAAGGTACCACACACCTGGCGGGTCATACTCCGCACAGGCAGAAACGCTGATGTCACGTCACATCACTGCACATATTTGGAGATGTTTGCTATTGCCGGTGCGTGACTGGAACAGTTAGCAGAACAGTTTTAGCTCAATTTTGGATTCAAGTCAACATGGTGGAACAGGTTTTCACTTTGGTGATTTAGAGGAGCTTCTTTGTGTGTTGTGAGAATATCTGTGGTGGAGGTTCAGTTCGTGCCTGCTGAGTACTTTTTTACCGCAGTCACCTGTAGCAGCACAAACCAACGTTAGCTCATCATGTCCTGCTCTGGGTGGGATTGCTCTGGTCTTAAAGCAGACTGTGATTCTTGGGTCTGAGCATCTCCACAGCTGCAGCTCTTGTCTAACATGTTTTAGTGTCGTGTTCAGAGCTGGTCCGGTGTGCTCCAAGGACAGGAAGCTAGTGAAGCAATAACAGGATGAAGGGCGGTAGAGCCTGCCTTGTGTCGGTTGAACAGCAGCAGGATGATCTGATCCCACGATGCACCCTGGTTTTCTGTGTATTATAAATCCTGTTGACTCACTGGTGGAGTTTGTACACTTCTACCGCTTCCTCTGGTGTTTTGTTGCTGGAACATGAAAGTCTGGGAACATTGGGAGTTTTGAGGGAAAACATTTATATTCTCCTGACTCCATGATGACTGGAGGCCCCATCTCACAGCTTCTGCTGCTGTTGGCGTGGTGGCAGGCACCACAGCAAACCTACCCAATCTCCCAAAACTCATGGTTCCATGTTACAGTAGAGCAAAGAGTTCAGTCTGATCACAGGAAACTATAAATCTGACTTGTTCTGTTGTATTTCAGCTCATGAAGTCTTCAGGAAGCAGCAAATGTTCAAATGGTTCTGCTTTCATATTGTGTGTGTGTGTGTGTGTGTGTGTGTGTGTGTGTGTGTGTGTGTGTGTGTGTGTGTGTGTGTGTGTGTGTGTGTGTGTGTGTGTAGGCTCAGGATGCTTGTGGTCAGCTGGAGATTGACAACGCACTGAATATGGTCCGAGACCTGGAGAAGGACATCCAGGAAGCTAAGGCTGCTGCTCGAGAAGGAAAACTCCAACCGCTGCCAGGAGATACAGTAAAGCAAACACACCCACCCACCCACCCACACAAACACACACACATTCACGTCTACATTTCAGCTGCGTGTTGGATAACCGTCTGTTCCCGTGTCTCCCGCCTGTTCTGTACAGCTGGGAAAGTGTTCTCAGGATCTTGGAACCAGCACCAAGGCTGTGACCTCTGGTATCGCCCAGCTGCTGAGCGAGACCACTCAGGGCGATGAGAACTACATCGGTGGGTTAACACATGCACAATAAAACAGGAATTCAGGGTTCCAATGTTGTTCAAATATTTCTGAACCAGACATAAATGTTCAGCTCCTGAAACTTTTGGCTTGATATTTTATATTTAATTCTTGCTGATAATCACGTCACACTTGGAGTTGAAGTTCACTGATGCTGATTCATTTAAAGATTTGATTGGCCCTCCTCAGAAACCTGTAGAGTCTCTGAATCATCTCCTGTTCCCTCCAGGCATTTCAGCCAGAGACGTGGCCCAGACCCTGAAGTCCTTGGCCTCCGCTGCCAGAGGAGTCGCAGCCACCACGGATGACCCAGCAGCCCGAGGCGCTGTGCTGGACTGTGCCGGTGATGTTCTGGACAAGTCGGCCAACCTGATCGAGGAAACCAAGAGGGCTATAGTGAAACCAGGAGATGCTGAAAGTCAGCAGAGGCTGGCCCAGGTAAACCCTGAGCCTAGCAGAGAGGAGAATGTTCTGGGGGTTAGAGACCTTAAGGCAGCAAAACCCAAAGCAGCTTAGTTCTGATCTGGACAATAGCGTATAAAAGCCACTCAGAAGAGGTCAGGGGCCGGTTGTGGGCTTTTAGGTAAACCACAGGCTTAAATAGTCACAGTGTCTCAGTGGTCTTCATCAATGTCCAGAACCAGACCCTCTGCTTCCGTGCTGCTCGGCCCAGTACCAGGCTGCTCCTGCCCGGTCAGCGCTCCAGGAACATGGTTCTGAAAATCACTTGTTTGGGTTTAGTCGTTCTCCCTATAAAACTACCTTTTTTTGCTTGTGAGCTACTTTCACTCAATGAAAATACGGAAGATCTACCGCCATCAGATTTATTCACACTGATACTTTCCACGTGTGAATATGCTCATGTTAAGAATGCTATGCTAACTAAATTAACATGCATCATGTTCACTAGTTGCTTTTTCTGTATTTCAATACATCAATATTATAAAAAAGGCACAAATGAAATGGTGACATTCTGAAAATCTAACTAAACAAAACGTGTTTTTTTTAACTAATCAGATATTTTCAGATAATGAAATACAAATCTACTTCATGTGAATGATTTGACATTTTCTTTTGGATCAGTAACATTTTGAGCACACAGGAGAAGCAAACATGTTCCTGTTCAGTCCCTGACCCTGCGCCGTGCCCTAAGCAGCACTGTCAGTGTTTCATAATGTTCAGCTGCTTTGTCATAGATTAACAAATACTTCCAAAAGTTATAGAATACATTTTAAAGAATGTTTGATGATCTTTAAAATGCATTAAATACAAAACCTTTCAAGTAATTGTTTTGTTATATTATTTTTCCCAACAATGCAAAAACAATTTCTCATTAAATGAATAAAGCTGAATATATTTAAATAAAATGCAAGCTAAATGTGGTGAAAACAAAAAATTCTGAACTGAAGTAAAAAAATGTAAAAACAGAAAACATTTCTTCCTGCTTCCTGATTTTTTTAAAATAATTTTTATGGGGTTTTTTTGCACATGAGAAGGTAAATTATGCTTTGCTGCGTTTATTACTGACAAAATTAAGGTTGGAGGTTTATTTCTCTGCATCTTGTAGTTTTATTTTCTGCGTGGGTCTGACGGCTGTGCGCAACACAGAGAAGAGAGGGGGAGGGAGTCAGCTCCCTCATTAATTTCACGTCCGGATGGCTCACTGGCTGATTCCAGGCGAGCAACTTTCAAGTGTGTCGCGAGCTGCCAGCAGCTCGTGTGCGACGTGTTGGAGACTCCTGGTCTAAAATAACACTCAGAACCCTCAGTTACTAAAACACTCACAGCAAATCTAATACAGCCGAGTTCTGGAGCACAACCAGGTCTCCTCGTCTGGCTGCTCTGCAAATATTTAAATACTGAACACTGAGCCTTTGTTCTCAAGACAGAAACATTTCTCTCCTCTGGGTTCTGATATGCAGTCAAACTCAAACTGATTTTTGTTATTTGTGTTTGAAAAAGAAGAAAAGAGGCAGCTGGAATTTAGAAGAGCGGTGACTGATGTGTGTGTGTGTGTGTGTGTGTGTGTGTGCGTGTGTGTGTGTGTGTGTGTGTGTGTGTGTGTGTGTGTGTGTATGTGTGTGTGTGCGCGCGCGCAGGTGGCTAAGGCGGTGTCTCAGGCTCTGAACAGATGTGTGAACAGCCTCCCTGGCCAGAGGGATGTGGACAACGCTATCCGTACTGTGGGGGAATCCAGCAAGTCTCTCCTGGCTGAATCTGTTAGTACCGCTGGGTCCAGCATCAGCACCAGTACCCACATCCAGTCAGAACACTGGCATTAACATGCCACCACACATAAGTTAAAGCTGTAGCTGTTACCATCTCAGTCGTACTCCACCTGTTTTGTTTTTGCTAATCATTTGATTTTTTTTATTATATTTATCACATCATTAATGTAACAACTTGAATGTTTTTGTTCACAACACTTATATTAATTCCCTTCATGGTGTGAAAACCTATCTATTCTTCCTGCCAGTTTCCGTCCAGCGGGCGCAGCTTCCAGGAGCTTCAGGCTCAGCTCAACGAGGTGGCTGCTGAGTTAAACCAGTCAGCCAATGAGGTGGTCCAGGCCTCCAGGGGAACCACCCAGGACCTGTCCAGGGCCACCAGCAAGTTTGGACAAGACTTCAGCCAGTTCCTGAAGGCTGGTGTTGACATGGCTGGAACGTCCCAGGTGACATTAAGCTTGTGGTTTTGGATCCGTCGGAAACCGGTTTCACTTTAAAATTTGAGGGTATAGAGGTCACAGCAGGAGAACTTTGGCCTTTAATGATACACTTGGAACGCCATGATGATCTAACAGCCTTACAGATAATACAGAAAAGACAGGTTTGACTGAAAATATGTTGTTGGTCAAAGCTTCAGCAGGGTTAGTGACAGGAATCAGAGAAAAGCCTGGGGTTTGTAAAAATAAAGAACTCTATAAAAACCAACAGGGACAGCTTTGATGATGTGTTTCTGGTGCAGACTGGCCTAAGCATGTGCAGTTTAGGAGAACAGCACCATGATCATCCATGGTCATTCACTGACAAACTATTTTTAATGATTATTTCTGATTATAATCAGTCACTCTTGAGTTTTTATGCAGGCTGAACATGAAAAATAGTCTCCTACACCCATCTCCTGCATTAGCTTCTGATAGAAAATAAACGATGAAACTCTCGGATTAGAAAATCCTGACAGATCTGCGTCACACTGTTACTGAAAATTCATGGACTCGCTCATCTTGACTTGTGACAGACAAGGCTGTTGTTGGTTTAGCGTCCAGGAAACGGCAGAGAACGTCCCGGCCCATAGAAGCTAACTGTTAGCATTAGCAACTCCACCACACAAGAGAAGTCCTCCAGGCTTGTGACATCTGTGATAAGACATCAATGATGCAGAGCAAACAGAGTCAGTGGTAGAGTCTGGTTACTGTTATCCAATCTGAGTCGAGATGTTCAAATATCAGGAAATAGACTCCAAATCCTGCCGTCTGAAGCTACCTTCTCCTCTGGCTGAACTCTCTGTGCTGAAACAGGCGCACTGGAGCTTTATTTCCCCAGAGTATGACTTACAAGGAATTCATTCCTACAAGAGGCCTCTGCAAATGTATTAAATTATGAGAAGGACCTCTTTAAAATCCTTTGGTAGTTCCTCTGGATTATCAGTGAGTTTAGTTAACAGTTAAATTCATCCTGTTTTCAAACTTTTAGCAGATCTGCTGAATCTTCTCAGGTTTTCTGTCCCACAGTCAGAGAGATTTTGTATTTGTCTCTTCTAGTCCAAAGAGGACCAGACACAGGTGGTGTCCAACCTTAAGACCATCTCCATGTCCTCAAGCAAACTGCTGCTGGCTGCTAAAGCCCTGTCCACCGATCCCAGCTCCCCCAACTTGAAGAACCAGTTAGCAGCAGCCGCTCGGTGAGAAACATTCTCCATTCTCTAGATCCACCCCATGGCCGCTGTTCCAGGTTGTGTTTTTTTTTTTTACAAGTTTGAGTCTTTGTGTTTTCAGGGCAGTTACAGACAGCATCAACCAGCTCATCACCATGTGTACTCAGCAGGCTCCAGGTCAGAAGGAGTGTGACAACGCCCTCAGAGAGCTGCAGGTCGGTTCTCCTCCTGGGAGCTTCATGTCTTTGGTGGACCTGATATTCCAGCTGAACCATGCATTTGCTTCTCTGATACCATCAGAGAACAGACATAAAACAGGCTGGCAGCTCTGTGTGGTGTGTGCTGTGAAAGTTGTGTGTCTTTGTGTATTCAGTCAGTGAAAGGAATGCTGGAGAACCCAACGGAAGCAGTCAATGATCTGTCCTTCTTTGAGTGCATTGACAGTGTCATGGAGAATTCTAAGGTAAGCCTAACCCATACCCTAACTAACCAATGGGGGCATTGTGTGGACCAGCAAAAAGTCCCCACAATGTGGAAATGGTCACACCCTACCGGTTAAAGTTAAAATGTGTCCACTTAAACATATGAAGACAAGTACACACACACACACACACACACACCAATCTCCTCCTGCAGATCAGCTCCTTCCTTCTTCTACTTATGTTCTTATTGAAGTGGTGACCATTAAAACCTCCAGCTGGGCTCCAGATTGTGTCTGAATGTTTGAATCTCTCTGGTGTTCTGTGGACAGGTTCTTGGAGAGTCCATGGCTGGTATTTCACACAACGCTAAGAACTCCAACCTGCCAGAGTTTGGGGACTCTGTCAGTGGTGGATCCAAAGCCCTGTGTGGTCTCACTGAAGCTGCTGCGCAGGTACAGCCCCTGACGAGAGACATCAGCTCAGAAACCAGACTGCAGGTCTTAGCTGTGTGTGTGTGATCTGCTCATGTCTTCAGGCCGCATATCTGGTGGGTGTCTCAGACCCCAACAGTTCAGCAGGTCAAAAGGGCCTGGTGGACCCCACCCAGTTTGCCCGGGCCAATCAGGCTATTCAGATGGCGTGCCAGAACCTGGTGGACCCAGCCTGCACTCAGTCTCAGGTATGTGCAGCTCTACCTCAATGCTGTTTTCCTGCTTGTTGTTTAAAAAATTTTTTCCTGTCCCTGCCTAGGTGCTTTCTGCAGCGACCATCGTGGCCAAACACACGTCTGCGCTGTGCAACGCCTGCCGCCTGGCCTCCTCCAAAACCTCCAACCCCATCGCCAAGAGGCAGTTTGTTCAGTCCGCCAAAGAAGTGGCCAACACCACCGCCAACCTGGTCAAATCCATTAAGGTCTGTCCTTTCAGCGTAACAAAAACATGTTGGTTTAGATCCAGAACTTTATGTTAGCAGAATGCATTTCTGCACAGCAAGATGGAGAGAAACATAATACATTCACAGATCAACAGGAGCCTTTACCATGTTGGTTAGCATAGTTGGGGTGTGAAGCAGAGTCTTAGTTTAACACACCTCTCTGCAGCTTCTGTACTGTTACCCACCCACTACCCCATAGAGACAGTGTCCTGCCCACGGCCAAAATCACACAGATTAAATATCAGGCTTAATAAAGCAAACCATGGAAATCTCATAAATATTAGAACAAATTCAACTGAGCAGAAAACTAGAAAAATTCAATGTGGGTTGTTGAACATTAGATCAATTTTTTCTAAGACTTTGTTAGTTAATGAGTTGATTTGTGATAATCAGATCTCATTGCTCTCTCTCACAGAATCCTGGCTGCAGCAAGAGGACTATGTTAGCTTAAACGAGTCGACTCCTTCAAATTATTTAAATCATCACATTGCTCGAAGTACAGGGCGAGGAGGAGGAGTAGCAACCATTTTTCATTCGGACTTATTAATCAGTCCCTTACCAATTAATAGCTACAGTTCGTTTTAACATCTTATTCTTAGTTTTCCTAATCCAGATTGCAAAACTGTAAAACCACTCTTGTTTGTAGTTTTATATCGTCCACCAGGATCAGATCTCTGATTTTTTATCTGATTTGGTGCTAAATACTGATAAGGTCATTGTAGTGGGGGATTTCAACATTCATGTGGACATGAAAATGATTGCCTTAATGTAGTCTTTAGTAATATCTTAGACTCAATTGGTTTTACCCAAAGAATACATAGCTCCACCCACTCCTGCCATCATACATTGGACCTTGTGCTGACTTATGGCATTGAGTGTGAGGAAATAACAATCTTTCCACATAATCCAGTCCTCTCGGACCACTTTCTGATAACCTTTGAGTTTTTTATAACTGAGTTCTCGAGACATGAAAGTAAATTTCATTATAGTCGGTCTCTATCTGACAACGCAGTTGCATCTTTTAAGTCAGCTGTTCCATCTTTACTGTCCTCAGCATCTCAGAGGCATGTAGCAGAGGGCAATATTTTCAGTTCTAGCCCCTCACAAATTGATGCCTTAGTTCATCATTTTAATTCCTCTTTATGTGTGGCATTAGATGATGTTGCCCCTTTAAAAAAGAAGGTAATTAGGGACAGGAAGTTGGCTCCCTGGTTTAACTCTCATTTACGAGCCTTAAAACAAAACTCTAGGAAATTGGAGAGAACATGGCGCTCTACGCACCATGAGGAGGCCTACCTATCCTGGGAAAATAGTCTTGTGCTTTATAAAAATAAGCTTCGACAAACTAGAACTGCTTATTTCTCAGCAGTAATTGAGGAGAATAAGCATAATCCTAAATTTCTTTTCAGTACAGTTGCTAAACTTACACAGAATCGTAGCTCTGAGCCATCTATTCCCTTAGCCCTCAGCAGCAATGACTTCATGGGATTTTTTACAAGTAAAATTAATTCTATTAGAAACAAAATCTTTAGCATCCTCCCTAATGCGATTTCTTCTTCCTCAGTAAGTGAGGCAGCATCAGAGGTAACTGTAGAACCTCATCTGTGCTTGAACCGTTTTGATCCAGTTGAGCTTTCGGAGTTATCAAAAATATTAGCTTCATCTAAACCTTCAACTTGCATTTTGGATCCAATCCCAACCAAATTATTTAAAGATGCATTTCCTTTGGTTACTGCCCCCATTCTAGATATAATCAATCTATCCTTAGTAAATGGATATGTACCGTTGGATGTGCTACTGCTAGTTTATCCGTTTAACAATAGATTCACTAGGATAAATACAATAAAGTTTATCTCTCGCCAAATAGAATATTTACTAAGCAATCACGGTGTAACCATGGACACATTGCTTGTTGTGTGTGTGTGTGTGTGTGTGTGTGTGTGTGTGTGTGTGTGTGTGTGTGTGTGTGTGTGTGTGTGTGTGTGTGTGTGTGCGTGCGTGTGTGCTCTGTCTTCTCGGTCCCCAGTGAGTCGTGGAGGATGGCTGCTTATACTGAGCCAGGATTCTCTGGAGGTTTCTTCCTGTTAAAAGGGAGTTTTCCTCTCCACTGTTGCTATATGCTTGCTTAGTATGAGGATTGCTGTAATTTGCTGGGTTCCTTATATAGGAAACATTTATTTTTCTGATTGGCTTAATGAACTGACCTGAATTGGAATGTTTATTATGTGAAGTGCCTTGAGATGACTCTTGTCGTGATTTGGCGCTATATAAATAAAATTGAATTGAATTGAATTAAACACAGTATTCTGGAAGGTTCTGATACTAATCTGTCCCCTCTGCAGGCTTTAGATGGAGCTTTTAATCAGGAGAACAGAGAGAAGTGCAGATCTGCCACTGGTCCTCTGATCGAAGCTGTAGACAACCTGACGGCATTTGCCTCCAACCCAGAGTTCGCAAGCATTCCTGCGCAGATCAGTCCTGAGGTTAGTGCTCCCAAATCCACCTCACATGTTTCTTCCAACATGAAAACAAGTGAAATAAGGACTGAAGATAAATCTTCAAAACAACGTGTCATGCTGCTTCACAACAGCAGAAACAACAACCAAAGCAGAATAACGACAATAAAATGGCTCGTGAAACTGGAGAGAATTTGGGGTTCCGTTCTTTACATGGAGTTATATTATTAAAGTATTTACTGACAGCTGAAACATTCACACATCAGCAACGCGATGTCCTTTCTCGCCCTTCAGGGTCGTGCAGCCATGGAGCCCATTTTGGCAGCAGCTCAGACAATGCTGGAGAGTTCGACTGGCTTGATTCAGACCGCACGCTCTCTCGCTGTCAACCCCAAAGACCCACCTAAGTGGTCCGTTCTGGCTGGACACTCCAGAACTGTGTCTGACTCCATTAAGAAGCTCATCACCAACATGAGGTAAGTGCTCCTCTGTGCTGAGCTGCCTCACATGGGATTGCCATAGAATGCCCTCATCTTCACCCCATTAAGGTTCAAATACAGTAAGGTTACAGGTGACGATCTTGGGCTGTGTCATGACTCTGGTAGTCTAGTTTTATTACAGCCGATTGTTTTGTCCTTTCCCAGGGAAAAAGCCCCTGGCCAGAGAGAATGTGATGATGCTATTGAGGTGCTGAACGGTTGCATCCGGAAGGTTGACCATGCCTCACTTGCTGCCATTAGCCAGCAGCTAACACCTCGTGAAGACATTTCCATGGAGGTAAATATCAAGTTTAACTTCACTCTGCTTTAGAGGTAAATCCTGGTTTTGGTAAAAAAATTTGAGGACCTGGTTTAACCGCTCTGTTCAGCCCCAAATTCTTAATCCCCTTTATTATCTCTGTTCACCTTTTAAAAAAACATTAACACCTACTTATGTCCTCAGACTCCCAGACATTTTAATGCATCAAGTTTCTTTACCCTGGGTTCTGTGACTTCCAACGAACTTCAGTGTTTCATGCTGGTTATCAGAGCACCAGGCTTTCTGCCTGGAGCTCCATTCTCAAAGGACTGGCTTTATTTTATGTTCATAAAGCAGGTCATTTGTTTTGTGCATTTCATGAGAACTAACTTGTACAGCAACTGAGACAAGTTTTGGAAGTGTGAGGCACCCCAGCAACAAATGAGTGATCTTTTGTTGTTCACATTTTTAGAATGACCTGCAATTCTCTCAAGGAAATCTAGAATCCCGTAAATGTAGAAAGACGATCTGGAAACGTCCTTGTAAATATTGTTTGTTAATGAGTTACTGACAGAAGAAGTCCTGTTAGATGTGGGATTCTACTCTGGTTTTCATGTGATGCTGTAATGAAGACTTGAACTCTAACTAACTTCAGTGATCTGCAATCCTGATATTTTGCACTGTAACAAAACCAGATTGTAAAGTAAAGCAGAACTAGTTCAGAAAAATCTGTGTTAGCTTTCAGGAGCTACAGTATTTCAGGGATAATCCCTGATGTAACTCTGGTTGCTGGTTTCTAACTCCTCTTTCCACTTACACACTTGCATCGTCTCCACTCCACTGTGCCCCGCCCGCCCCAGCCTGGCCGCGTTCGTTCCACATTGCCTTCGGAATCTAGACGTGATCCAGCACATAGTCGTCTGTGGCCTGTGATGTCATAAGTGCATCTCTGAGCACGTGGGCGGGGCAAGAGAGCACAGAGGAGTCGGCGGTGTGGCTGTTATAAATAAGAGTGGCCTGAGCAGTCTTGCTTTTGGAGACTCTGTCTCTGATTTTGCATCCTGCTTTGCTGTGTCTAGGAGCACTCCGTGTGTTTGTGTGTGCCTCCTCCAGTCGTGAGTAAAACCTACTTCAGTCAGGGGCTCGTTAACTCCACAGCATACAGAATGATAATAAATCGTGCATGCGGGATGCCCCCGCTGGCTGATTCTGTCTGCCAATTGGAGGCTCCCACTAATGGTACACGTGATTTTGAGCCGGCCAATCAGTCAGCAGTGGGCGTGTCTGCCCTGGTCCGCTCCAGGCAGACCGCCTCGGGAAGAGGGCTGAAAAGACGGCCAGTTGCGCTAGGGAGAATTCAAGGCTACCTAAATGAGAACACTCCCAACCTGGTCCAGGCAGAGTGGAGCTGATGCTGGTGTGTAAGGGCCATCTGATTGGTCGCCGGGTAAACAGAGGTTGCAGAGATTATAAGAGGCTGACCCATGTTTGTATCAGTGAACTGAACCAGCTTACAGTGTGTGTTTGTGTGTTTCAGACTCTTCATGAGCAGATGGCAGCCTCCGTTCATGAGATCAGTAACTTGATCGATCCTGTGGCTATAGCGGCTCGATCAGAAGCATCACAGCTTGGTCACAAGGTAAAGCCTGCTATAACTCACTGCAGCTGTGCATTCCTCTTCTGTTTCAGAATTGGCTTTGAACTTGGACTAATGCATCAAATGTTTGCTGCACCTGAACAGGTGTCTCAGATGGCCAGCTACTTTGAGCCCCTGATCATGGCAGCCATTGACACAGCCTCTAAGATCCTCACCAGCCAGCAGCAGATGGCTGTCTTAGACCAGACCAAGACCTTGGCAGAGTCTGCCCTGCAGATGCTCTACACAGCCAAGGAAGCTGGAGGAAACCCCAAGGTACTGTAAGCCACTCTGAAACAATGGCTTCCTGTGTCTGTGTGGTATTTCCAGGTGCATACCTTTAGTCCTACTCCAGTTTTTAAATACCTACAGGTGGAACTGAAAGCTGCCTTGTCTTCTTCACTTAACACTTTCAGACCAGGATGTGATCTCACTAGCATCGTATAGCTTTGGTTCGGTCAAAGTAGAAATCCTAGAATTGTTGCACCCACCCGCTGCGGGTTAGTTAGGGTGACATGTTGACTCTTTTAATGTCGGCTGCTCAGGTGTGTTTCTGTTCCCCAGGCAGCGCACATGCAGGATGCCCTGGAGGAGTCGGTGCAGATGATGAAAGAAGCCGTGGACGATCTGGGAGCTACACTGGCTGAGGCTGCTGGTGCAGCAGGTGCTGTGGGCGGGATGGTGGACTCCATCAATGATGCTATCAATAAGATGGAAGACACAACGGTGCAAGAACCGGATGGTACCTTTGTGGACTACCAGACTACCATGGTTAAGACAGCTAAAGCCATTGCTGTCACCGTGCAAGAGATGGTACAAAAGAGATTATTTCAAATGTTTTGTTTTCGTTAATCTTACAATAACTGACCAGGTGATTAAATAAGCATCTACACCTCCTGCAAATTTAGGAAAAAATCTCTAAATGTACCAGTAATTAATATGCAAGGAGGTAAAGTTTGCACTCAAAAGCAGAAACGTGTGTTTTCAAGCTTTAACTGGTCGGGACTGATGCCTGTATAACCAGTAACCCGTCGGTTTCTTTAGGTGACCAAGTCCAACACCAACCCAGATGATCTCGGAGGATTGGCCAACCAACTCACCAATAACTTTGGAAATCTTGCAAATGAGGCCAAATATGCAGCTCTTACAGCAGAAAACGATGACGTAAGGAACATTTTCTGCTGTTGTAAGCAAGAATCAGTGCTAGTTTCACGTGCATTCTTTTGTTTTTTACTGTTATATTATTGTTTTCCAGATTGGTTCTCACATTAAGAAGCAGGTGGGAGAGTTGGGTTTCACCTGTACAGGTTTGGTGACCAAGGCTGGAGCTCTACAGTGCAGCCCCAATGACTCCTTCACTAAAAAGGAGCTGATTGAAAGCGCACGCAGAGTCTCTGAGAAGGTCAGAACAATCAGGCGTTTAAAGAATGTTTCTAAACTAAACGAGACTTTTCTTGGAGCTTCTTGGCTTCATTTATTTACAGTTTATTGCATCAAGTTGAACATGAATTTTTTAGTGATGCAAGTCTTTATACTCACTGGTCTTTGCAGGTCTCCCATGTGCTGGCGTCCCTCCAGGCCGGTAATCGCGGCACTCAGGCCTGTATCACAGCCGCCAGCGCTGTGTCTGGAATCATCGCTGACCTCGACACCACCATCATGTTTGCCACAGCTGGCACTCTGAACCGAGAGAATGCTGAGACCTTTGCAGACCACAGGTAGTGACCGTTGTTCTGTAATACATGATCACAGGAACTGTTACTCAGTGTGTTTACACTAAAGTATCTGAATAATGTGCCACTGAGTCCTAGTCAAACACTTCTGTTGTTGGCCTCTGTCAGACCCCTGGGTAAAGGCTTGGGTTGGGCCTGAACTACCACCAACACTGAACGGAAAGAGAACGCGGCTCTGGTAGTTCTGTCTGGTAGTTTGCGGTGTATCAGAGCCTGCTCTAGTGGTGTAGTGATGAAAAAGCTTTGAGCTGTTCTCTGCTCTTTGTCCATAAGCATCCCAGGATCTGGCAGAACCTCTATTAAAACCAGTGCTGTGTTTTCTACAATAAAGCCAAAATTAGCTAATTTCATCAGCTAAAGAAACTGGTAGTAAACGACTCCGGCCACTCAGTCTTCAAGACTTCAAATACAATGGAGTCTCCTTCCAAACCACATCAAGTGTGAAGATCAGAAGTGTTACTGCCGTTTGAATCTTTATAGTTTCCCACCTTGTACTGTTACCAGTGACCTTTGATGTGCTTTTATTTTTCCAGAGAATGCATTTTGAAGACTGCCAAGGCTCTAGTGGAGGACACCAAACTGCTGGTGTCTGGAGCTGGAGCCAGTCAGGAGAAACTGGCACAAGCTGCCCAGTCCTCAGTCTCCACTATCACCAAACTGGCTGATGTGGTCAAACTGGGAGCAGCCAGCCTGGGTTCTGAGGATCCCGAGACACAAGTGAGACTTTATACACTGATCTGTTCTCCTTATAAAACCCCATGGTCAGGGTTTGATTAATGAGGGAGCTGAGGGGAGCCTGGCTCCCCTGAAAGGGTGATGTGCTCCCCTAGAAGCCCTCAACTAAGAAACCCAGGGGAAGCCCAAAACAAGATCTTGTTTCTAATTGTATGATATTATTTATATGGACTCTCAGTGCACCAGGGATAGTTTTGAGAGGAGAGTACGGAGAATGCTGATTCGGTGGCGCTAAAAGCAAGCAAAACTGCTAAGTGTCCTTTTATAAATATTCTACATAAAAATTAAAAGTTTAGCTTCTGGTTTTACAAACGGACCCTGAGGGGTGCTAAAAGCAATCCAAAACCACCTAGTTTCCCTATAAATGTCTGTTTGAAGGCTTAAAGCTTCCACGTTATTGAGGATTTGACGACAAGATTTGGGACTTCTATTCAGGTAACACAAACAGCTTCAGAAGGATATAAGAGCTGGATTAAAGTAGACACAAGGTTTAGTAGTGCATCCACTCAGCTGCTCTTACCAGAATCAGACCAGTGACTGGTTCTTTCTGACAGGACAGGTGAGCTGATGGACCAGATACAGTTGTTTAGCTTTCTTAATCCAACTCTAATCACAAATATTTCAAAGCAGGTTCATGCAAAAACTAAAACTCATGTCATAGTTACTTACATTGAAGGTTATTTGCAGCAGAGATTAGCTGCAGGGGCGCCTCTGGATAAAATGATATAATTCTCCCTCAGAAACCTGAGATGTGAGTAACTGGCACTGTAACGACACCATTTTATGTCGTTTTTACAACTGGGAGAGTTTTACCTCCACTTATGAAAGCTCGTCTGTCTCTGTCATGTTCTGTTCTCAGGTGGTCTTGATCAATGCTGTGAAGGATGTGGCCAAAGCTCTGGGCAACCTAATCAGTGCTACTAAAGCAGCAGCAGGAAAACCTCATGATGACCCCAGCATGCTTCAGTTGAAGAGCTCGGCAAAGGTCGGATACACAAACCCCACCACCCCATAGGATTCAGTAACTGTGCTCCTAGAACTGAATGTTCCTTTATACATCACTAAAACTCACACAGACCCTCCAGCCTCAACAGATATAATAGTGCAGACATAGAAATAACTACCTCCACGTCCATCAGAAACATACAAATAAACTAACCCCGGGTTTCCACGGGAGCCGTCAGCAGCACGTCTTGCTCGCGTAAACTGCTGCTTGGCCCTTCCCACGAGACGCGAAGCAGCAGGGGAGCAGCTGTCACCGACAGAGCACGAAGTCACACGAGTGACTTCGTCAGTAAACACAACAACAAGCAGGAGAAAACTACAACATGGTTTGTGTTTTATGTTCTGTCCGTTTTATAATCGCCAATACGGACCTGAAAAACAAAGGAGACCGCTAGCTAGGTGATAACTTCTCACGGGGCCGCACAGTTAGTAACTTTTTTTAAAAGTAAAGCAACCGGAAGGCAGTACGTTCTTTATTCTGAAAATCTCGGGAGCTTCTCTCCATTTCCGCGTCCGATTTCCTGTCTTTCCTTCCCCAAAAATGTCGAACTTGACCCGTTTCAGAGGCGTCGCGCGTAGGAAATAGAACCGGCGCGTAAAGGTCACGACATGCTGCTCCTGAGACGCGGCCGACTCGCGCTGCTGACGGCTCCAGTGGAAAAGGTTCTGTTGACCTCAGCGGTTCCTATCAGCAGATATGACGTGCTGCTGCAGTAACGTGCTGCTGACGGCTCCGGTGGAAAGCCGGGGTGAGTCAGTCAGGTTAAAGATGGCTGCTACAGCTGATTAACATTAACAGACCTTTCAATGTGTCTAACTCAGTCAGTCATTGAGCTAAAGTATGATGACCGAAGGATAACTGATCACGTGAGATTGTCCATAAGTTATGTTTAAAATGAGACTGAATTAATAAAATAATTTTAGTTTAAAACTGACCTGAAAGGCAGTGGGGGAGATTGACTCTTCTAAGGAATGATGGGGTAGTGTACGTAATATGGATAGATGCCACAATCAGCTGTTATGTTATGACGGTTCCTCTGACTTGACCCTGCAGGTGATGGTGACCAACGTAACATCTCTGCTGAAGACCGTGAAGGCGGTGGAGGACGAAGCCACCAAAGGAACGCGGGCGCTGGAGGCCACCATAGAACACATCAAACAGGAGCTGACTGTGAGTTCTCACACTGCTGCTGTGAAAATGACTTGGTTGGTTCTTAGAGAACTAGGGCTGCTTGATTATGGCAAAAATAATAATCACGGCTATTGTGACTGAAACTGAGATCTCGGTTATTTAAGACGATTTTTTAATTAGTGTTGATTTGATTTGTTTTATTCTGTCATAAAATTGTACAGGGCACAATCAGGACAAGAATAAATAAGAAAAAGAAACGAGATAATCACAAAAGCAACTCCTGATTCCTAGTATAAAAATACACCTTCTTATGGTTTATGACCCAAAGGGTTTAGGCTGAGGTTTGACTCATTTAAGGTTACCTACTGCAGACCCAAATACCCAACCAATATCTTGCAAATACAATTATACAGTGTATTTATAATATAGAATAAATAAAAACCCACAAACATTATTGTTTTAGTCAAGTTCACAGAATGTTTCATAATAATCATTTAGTCCTCTCCAGCGGTGCTGTAGGAGTGTGGCAACGTATCGCTCAGAGAGATGAATTAATATTTATCAGCATGAGGAAATTATTTCTATTTTCTATAATCTATTTTCCAACTTATTTGTAAACTATTTATCTATAGGTCCCATCAGTTAATGTAAAATTGTCCCAGGCAGCGATCGAAGGTGCGCTGCAACCCCCCCCCCCACCTCCCAACCCGGTCTCACTGCAATTAGGGGCAAGCTGCGTTTACCACCGCACATGCACATTTTGCCGTTTTTAGCTGCTCAGGAGCCTGCGGGTACAGTGTTTGTCTCTCACTCTGGCTAATCCAGGAGGAAGCCGGCTCTGGGAGCCGTTTTTTCGCGACCGACACAACGTTACATCCCCTTCCTAATGTCCTAAGTTACACCCTGGAACACAGGCTGTGTTTTGCTAACCTGCAGGGAATGTCTACTACAGTTATCCAGAAAGTAGCTAAGGGTTATCAGAGATGTTTCTAGGTTGTTTAGGGTTTAGAAAGTCAACAAGGGGGTCTGAAAAGCTGTCCGAAATAGCGACAAAGCTGCTAAGTTGGCAACACTGTGGGGGAGCGCTTGATTTTCAACTCAGAGCAGCGCAAGAGGGAGGAGCAAATAATCGGCTTGTTGTGTTTTTATAATCGTTAAAAACTCCGATCATAATTGGGATTAAAATTTGATTAATTGAGCAGCCCTGTAGAGAACTAACAGTTCTGGTTTTGCCACGCAGGTGTTCTGCAGTTCTGACCCACCTCCAAAGACCACCACACCAGAGGAGTTCATTCGCATGACAAAAGGGATCACCGTGGCAACGGCAAAAGCAGTGGCTGCTGGGAATTCCTGTCGTCAGGAGGATATCATCGCCACAGCCAACCTCAGCAGAAGGGCTATTGCTGACATGCTGCACTCCTGCAAGGTATGCTGGGAGTTTGCGATCAGCTTCAGTGGTACAGGCTGCTCTGTGCTGGGTCTACGTTACCATGCATGCACCGGGATTTCTCATTCAACAATGAAAATCAACAAGCCAACACTGTTTAAATGTAGATGTGCAGCAGGACAGAATCCTGGAGGATAATTTTGAATAGATTAGTAGTTTCATTGTACATAAATTACAAAGAGCAAAAGAATAAAGCCGGTTCTAAATCAAATCTGTCCATCTGTGTGTTTTCAGGAAGCTGCTCATCACCAAGACGTCGGCATGGAGGTCCAGATGCGAGCTCTTCGTTACGGCAAAGAATGTGCTACTGGATATCTGGGGCTGCTCGAACACGTGTTGGTGGTGAGACCTCATTCTTTCCTACAGTGTGTTTTGGAGATTTTCAGACAAGTAGGAACGTCGGAACTTGCTGCAGAGTCGCACCTCAGAGTACAGCAGGAGTGTCGTCCCGAAACCAAACCACTCACTAGGTTTGAGCAGCAGATGGATTCATGCCTTTACTGGTTTCATGACTCTATGCAAAGTAAAAGAAAACACTAGCCTAGTGAACTAGACCAAATTCTTGCTTTGCAAAGTTTGTAAATAATACATTTATTTAGTCTGGCTTGCCAGGCTAAGAAAACACACCTTCTGCTGGTAATGATGGTGCAAAAGAAGATTTTAATCAGAACCCGTCAACATAAACAACTCACTAGAGATGAAGAGATGGGGTCCCAGTAAGTCTGTTCAGCAGCCATGTTTTCACTTTGGTTTCTGAGAGAATCCGCTTTTTCTTCATGTGATAGCCTGTGGGTTTTAGTTTAGACTCCTCTGAGTGACTGAATCTGGTTCAAACCTAAAGGCAGAGTCTAAGAGGGCCGGGCAGCAGGCAAAGAGTGGGAGACGAGAAAATACACAAATGTTCAGTTGGGATCACATTGAATTCATGCGTACAAAACCTGACCAAGTCACTTGGGACATATGGCATTAAGAAGTTATGACCGCTGCACAGATTTGGAGCACAAAGTGTTATTTATGTCTCAAATATCTATTTATACTTTATTCTAGTGTTTTGGGCAATTTGGTGAACCTACAGTTTCTGACTAGACCAAGCAAGATCCTCTGTGCCATTTTTTGAAAAAAATAAAATAAAATAAAAAAAATTATAAAAACTCTAGCAACATGGAACCGAGGCCTTAAAGCTAACCAAAGGAAGCCTTGATAACATATTGAGGTATTCTGGAGACTCCCTTATGAGCGCCGTCTCTGGTTTGTCAGAGTGGACGCTCAGATACGGGGTTAACAGATGGGTTCGGATCCAGTGGCCATTATGTGGATCTTTAGCTGGAACGTTTTCACAAAGTTTATCTGAAACATCCGTCAAAATACATTTGATGTGTGTTTTTGGTGCAGGTGTTGGCAGATGTCAATAAATAATTCAGAGATTCTGACCACATTTCTGCTCACAGACTAATGAATATTCTGTACTTAACGCAGGATGTCAGATCTCTTGTGAGTTCTAGAGAAAAATGTTTTTTATGAATTAAACATATTTAAAGAGACACTTTGCAAGTTTTCATATTTTTAAATAATTTTCTTCAGCCAGTATGTGCTAAAATGTCCCTTTACAGGGCTAATGAAAGGCCACCTAGCCCCTATCACCCCCCTGTGGCCGGAATGTTCCAGCTGACATACCTGGTGCTACGGTTAGCTTCCAGCGCATTGCATGTTTTAGATCATGAACACAGCTGATTTGTTTAATTTAGTGATGGACCATTCCTGTAGACACTGAGGGCTGGGGAGATGTTTCAGCTGTTAGATTAAGCTGTTAAAAAGACGAGTGCACAGTGAGGCGATAAATTTTGCTTTTGGTTCTACAAACGGACACTAGGGGGTGCTAAAACAAGCCAAAACTGCCTAGTCTCCCTTTAAACCAAGGCGAAAACTCCGCCTGTCGAAAGTCAAAAATGCCAGCTCACAGCAGAAATGAACATGCTTACGGCATGCTTGACAACTCTGAGGGGAGTGAATTTTTTTTGAATGCCTACTGGTCTTTAGTTTAGCTCTTCAGAAACCTACGGGTGATGCCGCAGAGGGACCATCCATTATATTACAGTCAATGGTTTAAACACACCTAAAACAAAGCTGATGTAGATGCGCTCAAGCAGATCAAGCCCACAAGCATCTTATGTTATCTTTCTGTCTCTGTCCTGATGCCTGAACTCACCGGTGTTGGTGCTAGCCGGTGAGTACACTGCATGAGTGGCGTGCACAAGTGTGGAGCTGCATTGTGTAAATGATACTGTGACTGTTTCATATCACACCATCCCTGCACAAAGCATCTGAGCTGTGAGTTTGCTGAGCTAACAGTCTAAAATGCCCTGAGGCTCATGACCTCTGACCTTTGAGCTGTCCTCTGCTGTTTGTCCACGTCACCATGGCTACAGGTGTTTATTACTGGCTGCTATTGTATTTATGTACACAGAGACGGCGTAACAGGCCCGTGTTTCTAACGCTGTTGAACCCGAGTCTTACAGAGCGAACCCCAGCCTGCTTGTTAGTTTAACATTAACTACTCACTCGGTTTGTGTTTGATTCAGTGATCAATCAGTGACTTGAATTCCTTCAACGCCACTTCACCTCTGGTAGAACTCACTAGTTTGTGTTTGACACACTGTGTCGGTAGCACTGATGTGACCCCACCCGTCGGGCTGTTGGCGTGTTTTTGTTTGGCCCTCCTCAAGCGTTCCTCTGCTGTAACATCAGTTTTATTCTGACAGTACATCTGAGTAAAGCTAGAGGCTGAGCCCTGCTAACTCCCTGCACCTGTCTCACACTTCTCCAACGTGAATACTTCTGTCCATCTAAGACAGAGTGAGGTCAACAGTCAGCAGCAACAGGTTGGGTCATGTGAGAGCAGCTTTCTGTCCCCTTGGGGGTGAGGCATCCATATTCCCCCAGCAGGCTTCTTTAAAGAGCAAGTCACCCCCAAATCAACTTTTTTTCTGATAAACTATATAAATGTTTGTCTAATCGTGCTGCAGACACGTGTAGTTAATAGTTTTGTATTTTAGTGCATTTTAGTTAAAATTGTAATTTTCTGCCTAAAACTGTCAGTGTTGTGCCATTGTCAGGTAAAAACTCTGCACTGCATTAGAATTTAAATCTGCCACCGCTATTGGCTAAGAGGTATGCTATCATGTAAACTGGTCCTTATGATGTCACAATGCTGTTGTGAGCCTGTGTGTGTGTGTGTGTGTGTGTGTGTGTGTGTGTGTGTGTGTGTGTGTGTGTGTGTGTGTGTGTGTGTGTGTATTTGTTAGTGGCTCTGCCCTCTCGGTCTGCTAGGCAACAGCATTTGTTGCATTTTTCAAACATGAAGAGGGAGTGAAGTAAGTTTCTTGTAGGGGGTGACTTGCTCTTTAATTCCAGGTGAATGGATTGAATTAGCATCAAGACATTTTGTGATGTTGTTTTGATCAAAGGAACCTGATCAGCGAAGCAACAACATCTTCCATGTAGCCTATGAGTACTTTGACACACAACCTGGGATCAAACCTCCCACCACAACCGTTCCCCCCGTTCAGCCACCTCCGCTCCCTTGGTCCTTTCAGAGTTCTGTTATAGAGAAACATCTCATCACTCCCAGCAGCCGGACAACTTTATGGAGCCATCACTGGTTCTAATTTTACCTTTGAAACTGGGAGAGAAAATAACTTCTTAAGTGTCTGCTAAGCTGTGGATTTTTCTGTTGTGGATCCAGCCTGAAACCTGAAAGCTCTGCCTCCAAACACCCAAGTGTGTCTTCAGGTCCAGTCAGGTGAGACATGGAGAGCTCACAAAGCTCAGATTCACCCCAGGGTGCCCCGCCATTCAGATTTCTTCTCAGGCATCTGCACATCATTTCCAGCTGTTGTATGAAGTTTAATGTTTCTGTCTCCTCCAGCTGATGACAGTTTGAGCTGCAGTATAAGATGGCAAATTATCTTGTAGCCCCCCCCCCCTCCATGGCCCTACGGAGGGCAGGTGGATCTTATTTCATTCATCAAGCTGGAGAAAGGCTCACTCAGAGCACCGTCTCGTTAAAAGCATGTGTTTGTCTTGTTCCAGTTTTGAATTTCTCAAACTAATGAGTTAAGAGCCTCTCCCAGACCACAAAAATGTAATATTTTATTGTTTAAAACTAAATGATGGTATTATTTTTAGCTGTACTCCTAAAAATTGGTCCAAAGTCAGCATAACATTACAAATCTGTATATAAAATTCAGAACGTATCCATATACATCAACAGCCCACTGGAGAAACAAAGTTCATCATTCTAGGAATGCAATTGGAGACTACACTAAATCCTCCTGAGGGCCAAAAATGGCCCCTGGGCCATATTCCTGCTCTAACAGGAGACCAGCTGAGACTAGGGGTGCTGCAGGCCTTCTCTTGTTTGATCCTGCCACCCACTGATAACAGGACAACCCGCCCTACCTCCTGAGCTTCTGCTGCCCCTCAGAAGTGATTCTGATTGGTCTACAGCTCTGACCGGCTCATGCATTGGGCTAATTCTCGTTTATCGTAAAGAGCTGAAATGTTTTTGTTTTCAATTTATAATTAACTTGAAAACTATGATTCTTAAAGTGCTAAAGTCCACTCTGGATATCTAGTGTTGCTATTATAAATTAGTTCTTAACGATGGTGTGTTCACACCTGCTGATTCTGATATTTGAGTTTCAGACTGGCAGATTCCTGATTAAACCCATCATGCTGATCTCTGTTTGTCCGTATCCTGACCCGATGTTATCACACTGACATCTGGTCTTGTCCTGTTTAATAACGAATCCTAGGAGACGTTACTACGTTTCCTTTAGCGTTTCCTGCCAGACCCGGATGGAATGACTTCATGTAACCAAGTTACATCAGAAACCCAGCAGCACAGGTGTGTCCGAGTCTTTCTGAATGTGTTTTTGTTTGTTTCTACCTTCAGATCATCCAGAAGCCCACCCACGACTTGAAGCAGCAGTTGGCCAGCTACTCCAAACGTGTGGCAGGTTCTGTCACTGAGCTCATTCAGGCTGCCGAGGCCATGAAAGGTATCTTAACCTTTGACCCCTGACAGGAGGGCCAACAGATCAAAATGCATTTTCTTAGAGCTAACAGAAGGTCTACAGACCTGAACTTTGATCAACAAAGTCAACATGTTGGCAGGTCCGTCAGCATTACCTCAGGAGTGTAGCTTCTGTTAGTTATTCACTAGGAACACTGATGACAAATCAAAGAGACTAATAATCTGAATGGTAACAAAAGAGCCCAGAAAAACTTCTAAAGAGACCCAAGGTGAACTTGAAGCTCAAGAGCATCAGTGTCAGATCGCACCATCTAAGATGACTAAGGAGACATTGTTGAAAACACTGGACTATTCTAAAGTGGCCTTCTATGAACCCTGACCTCAATCCTATTGAGCATCTTTGGAAGAAGCTGAGGCATGTCGTCTGGAAAAGGCACCCTTCATAGCTGAGACACCTGGAGCAGTTTGCTCATGAGGAGTGGGCCAAAATACCCGCTGAGAGGTGCAGAAATCTCATTGTCAGCTACAGAAATCATTTGATAGCAGTGATTGCCTCAAGAGGTTAAGTTAGGGGTACCATCATTTTTGTCCAGGCCTGTTCCATGAGTTGATTTAAAAAAAATAATTTCTGTGACCATTGTGGGTTTTCCTCTCATTGACCAAAGGATACCAACACATTTGTCCACATTTGTGCTTACTGTGGTGGTTTTCAGTTTATTTATTTCAGTAAATAAATGAGTGTTCTCTCATTTCGGAGCCACATCAGAGTATAACTGAGTATAACGTCCTCCTGTTTACCACAGTAATACTTTAGCTCCTAACTCTTCAGCTTTAGAGCTAAATGGACAGGACATCCTTTGTGTCCCCAGTTATGATGGGATGGATGGTCCTGCTCTCCGTCCAAGCCTTCAGCAGAAGAGAGTAGAAAGGTGTTTTGCTTGGCACCAATTGAGCTGGTGTTATTTTTGTTTGCTGCAGGCACAGAATGGGTGGACCCTGAGGATCCTACTGTCATCGCAGAGAATGAGCTATTGGGAGCAGCGGCGGCCATCGAAGCAGCTGCCAAGAAACTAGAGCAGCTGAGGCCAAGGACCAAACCCAAGGTTAGCAGGCCTTTTACAGAGCAGAGGCATTGGCACCTCATTTGTTAACCCAACCCCAGGGTTACACTTGGTGTGTGTGTGTGTAACATACCCCCACACCTTACCCTGCTGCCTTTCATTTCTTCTATTTATAGTTCATGTGAACACAAATACCTCTGCTTTTTACCATCTAAACCCCTTTTTCCTGACATCCTTTGAAGTCCATCACAGCCCTAAGTCATTGTGTTTTCTGCCTGCTGGTTCCTCTCGTAAATAGGAGGCAGATGAGAGCTTGAACTTTGAGGAACAGATTCTGGAGGCAGCCAAGTCCATCGCAGCAGCCACAAGCGCACTGGTCAAAGCTGCTTCAGCAGCTCAGAGAGAGCTGGTGGCTCAAGGGAAGGTATGTCACAGCCCAAAGAGAAACCATTCATGTTACCTGTGGGTTTCTGCACTGCATCACACTACAATCATAGATCTGTCCGTGTGGAGAATCGGGAAGGATTTCACTGGTAGGAGAGTCAGGAAAACGACTCATCAGCCAAGAAAATCTGGATGCTCATTTACTCCAAAGACGTACAACCAGAACCTCTAATCTTAGAGCATTCATCACTATTTCAACACATTTTCTATATTGTAGTACCTACAGGTTAGTACTTAATGCTTCAATTCAATTCAAAGATACTTTATTAATCCCAGAGGGAAATTAGAGTTTCAGTACACACAATTCTGAGATCAGACACACACACATAGGCAAAGACACATGGCAAGAATTGGTGACTGTGGTCATTCGCAACCTGAGTCACGCTACCTTAATAGAGATCAGAGGGGTTCTCTATTATTCTTTTATTTTATAATATCCTTAAGTTCACTGTCAGTTTTACCACAAGCATAATTCAAAAGAGGCATTCTTGCCATTTCTGTGTGTAACATCCAGCTGTGATGGGTCAGGGTGAGTCAAGCTTCTTTGTGTTTTCAGGTTGGAGCCATCCCGGCTAATGCAGTGGATGATGGACAGTGGTCTCAGGGCCTGATTTCTGCTGTAAGTTTTCTGTCTGAAGCTTAAACTCTGGGAAAGGTTTTTAAATCACCTGCTTTAAAACTGGTGCTTTGACTGGTCAGGCCCGGATGGTCGCGGCTGCCACCAACAACCTGTGTGAGGCAGCCAACTCTGCCGTGCAGGGACACGCCAGTGAGGAGAAGCTCATCTCTTCAGCCAAGCAGGTGGCTGCCTCCACTGCTCAGCTGCTGGTGGCCTGCAAGGTCAAGGCTGATCAGGATTCACAGACCATGAAGAGGCTCCAGGTCAGTTCTGCACACTCATTAAACCACACAGTAGGCACACTGGGTTTGTGCTTTGGCGAGTAGACTTACCTCAACAAATAAATAGAACAATGGGTAAAAACAGACTAAGTGATGTTTAGTTTTGACCTGCTGACTTCCACAGTGACACACAGTCTGTCGTTGTACTGGTTTCAGTTCTGGACCAACAACGGGCAGCTTATTGTTGGGCACAGCAATCCAGTCATGTTGAAGCAATGATGTCACATCTCTGTGGCTCCAGAGTGGAGGAAAATGCTCAATGTTAGCTCATATACTAGCCCCAGTAGTAGCTCTGGTCCTAGCCCTGATCCTAGCTCTGATGTTAACCCTGATGATAGCTCTGATGTTAGCTCTGAAACAAGCCCTGATATTAGCCCTGATATTAGCTCTGATGTTAGCTCTGATGTTAGCTCTGAAACAAGCCCTGATATTAGCTCTGATATTAGCTCTGATGTTAGCTCTGATGTTAGCTCTGAAACAAGCCCTGATATTAGCCCTGATATTAGCTCTGATTTTAGCTCTGATATTAGCTCTGATGTTAGCTCTGATGTTAGCTCTGAAACAAGCCCTGATATTAACTCTGATGTTAGCTCTGATGTTAGCTCTGAAACAAGCCCTGATATTAGCTCTGATGTTAGCTCTGATGTTAGCTCTGAAACAAGCCCTGATATTAGCCCTGATATTAGCTCTGATTTTAGCTCTGATATTAGCTCTGATGTTAGCTCTGATGTTAGCTCTGAAACAAGCCCTGATATTAACTCTGATGTTAGCTCTGATGTTAGCTCTGAAACAAGCCCTGATATTAGCTCTGATGTTAGCTCTGATGTTAGCTCTGAAACAAGCCCTGATATTAACTCTGATGTTAGCTCTGATGTTAGCTCTGAAACAAGCCCTGATATTAGCTCTGATGTTAGCTCTGATGTTAGCTCTGAAACAAGCCCTGATATTAGCCCTGATATTAGCTCTGATTTTAGCTCTGATATTAGCTCTGATGTTAGCTCTGATGTTAGCTCTGAAACAAGCCCTGATATTAACTCTGATGTTAGCTCTGATGTTAGCTCTGAAACAAGCCCTGATATTAGCTCTGATGTTAGCTCTGATTTTAGCTCTGAAACAAGCCCTGATATTAGCTCTGATATTAGCTCTGATGTTAGCTCTGAAACAAGCCCTGATATTAACTCTGATGTTAGCTCTGATGTTAGCTCTGAAACAAGCCCTGATATTAGCCCTGATATTAGCTCTGATGTTAGCTCTGAAACAAGCCCTGATATTAGCTCTGATGTTAGCTCTGAAACAAGCCCTGATATTAGCTCTGATGTTAGCTCTGATGTTAGCTCTGAAACAAGCCCTGATATTAGCTCTGATTTTAGCTCTGATATTAGCTCTGATGTTAGCTCTGATGTTAGCTCTGAAACAAGCCCTGATATTAACTCTGATGTTAGCTCTGATGTTAGCTTTGATATTAGCTCTGATGTTAGCTCTGAAACAAGCCCTGTCTGATATTAGCTCTGATGACACTTGAGACATCAGCTCTGTCTGTATCATTCAGCATCAGCTTACAACAGCTGGCCTCTTTTGTTTGATAGTGTTTGTTGAACAGTCTGCTTCTGAAATGTTACATGGCAGATTACAATGGCGTAGATTTGGCATGGACGGAGGTGGTGTGTCCCCACCAATATCCAGCTTGAAAAATAATACTAGAGATCATAATACACTTTTTCAAAAGTCTAAAAGTTCAGTGGCAGTCAAAGATAACATTTTGAAAATGGTAACCAACAACAGGGACTAACTTCTAGGTGGGGTGGAGTGATCTCAAGCTATTTAGTGCTTAGAACGTCGTTCCCCCTGCTCCTTTACACTTCCATGTATGGTTAAAAACAAAAGTCATTCATTTTTCGTGTCAGTGGTCTCTCTTTTTTGTTTGTTATTGCTGCTTTATTGAAAACCAGCTAATGTGGTTTTGGCAAATGTTGAATTGATTAGATCAACCCAGTTTGATGTTTTCTAGAAATAACCAGTTGACTTTTTCAGTGGATAAAGTTTAGTGAAGAATACTTGGCACTGTGTAACACTAAATACTCAGCGAGCTGTTTTAATAAGATGTTAAATCGTAAGTGCCGAGTCTTTTTTACCTGATGACCTGTCTGTAAATCAGTGCCACAGTGGTAGAAATAATCTGGTTCTGCTGGGTTGTTGTGACCTTTATGTGTAACTGAAGCATCCATCTAAAAGTGCTATCTTTGATGCTGTGCATATGCTAGGAGCACGCTGGCCTGCCCGAGCAGCTCATATTCTCAGCTCCAATCAGCGGAGGCTTATCCCTTCCTCTTCTGGACCTGCAGCTGCCACCACAGTAATTCCCATACATTTACGTCTACAGGAGCTCTGGAAACAATCCACAGTCCATCCATGGCACCAGACACTGGAAGCATTAGTCTGCAGCTATGGTTACACTCGGAGCAATGCTCTCTCCATTCCTTGCTGTGTTCCTTTTTAAAGCTGTAATTACTCAGACTCATGACAAATGTAGAAGGTGGTGATTGGTGTTTCTGGGACAGAAGTGGTTAATACTGCATCTGCTCAGTCTCACATCCACAATGTTCTCATTTGAAGTTGCTAACACTTTTTGAACTGTATATTTGGCCCAGTGCTATCATGAAGCATCCCTGAGCACAGTCTTAAACCCTGTTGAAGCAGTTTGGTGTTAAACCGTCCTCTTATTGAGAACTACACACATGCTCAAAGGGTTGCAGTGTGCACGTAAATGAGATTCATGCTGTAACTAACAGTGATTTAATACCAGCATTTCCATCCATCAGGCCTTAGGTTATACTGAGACATTTTGATTATGTAATGGGCCATTCCCATCTGTACCGGGTTGGCCCGGGCCGGGTAGCCCCAGTCGGCCCCAGCCTAGCCCGGTTGATTCCACACATCCTTGCCTTAAGCCCATGTGGGCTGATTCTACCCACCAATCAGAGGCTTGCTCTAATGGAAGGTGTGAATCTGCTGTCAGCAGTGGGTGTGTTGGCCCTGGTCGGCCTGAAGCAGACCCCCTCGAGAAGAGGGCTGAGAATGAGCCTTGGTTGGCTCGGAAAAATACCAGGCCACCCCGATATGTAAACAACCTACGCTACCCGGCCCGGGCCGACCCGGTACAGATGGGAATGGCCCATAATTAATACACTTTTATTAAAAGCCATTGTTCTCTCAGTGATATTTAAATACACAGAGGGATGATGTAACATGAAATATACAGACATATAAGGGTTATTGTAAAACACCATCAAGAATTAACAGTAAGCTGCAGCTCAGGCACCATATAAACTCTACTCAAGGTTATTGGCAGCATTCAGGTTATTGAATAAAGACAGCCTGGGTGGTCAAAAGTGGCATGCCAAAAAGTCTATCCTGTGTGCGACCTACTTTTGATGTATATATTGAATATTTACTTGGCCAGCTGATGGTTGCCTCCCTTTGGGGATTTTCTGGGATCATCCCACTGGGAGGAGACTCTGAGGCAGAGCCACTGCTCACTGAAGAGAATACAAGTCCTCCCTTGCCTGGGGACACCCTGGGAGCCCCCTCAGGAGGAGCTGCAGCATGTCGCTGGAGTGAGGGAGGTCTGGGTTACCCCCATGGACCTGGTACTTCTGTGACCTGATTTTTGAAAAGCAGAAGAAAATGCATGGATGGATAATCTAGTGTTCCAAAGCTAAGGCAATGTGGAGGAACACAACAGCTGTCTGATGCCATGTCATTCCTACTTTTCCTTTTTTCTATTGATATTTCCTCCTGAACATCAAATTTACTGATTTATGTGTTTTTATTGTTAAATCACAAACCAAGTCATGGTTTCGAGGAGGTCAATGTTTAAACAGTTTAGGTTGTTTTATACATTTAATGTGATTTAGCTTGTATGTAGTAAGTCATTGATGACGCCTAAAATGCGGAGTGTCCCAGTTTGCAGAGCGACCATGTAGCGCAGCTATAAAGGGACAGCCTGTTGCCTGTCGCGGTCAGTGTTGAACCAGGAGCGGAGAATTTCAGCCCACAGCGCCACAAAAGGAAAACTTGTCATGTTAGAGCTGAGCTGCCCAATCAGGGAAGAGTAGCTCTGCTTTGCCTTTTACAGCTCCTCTTCAGCCCTGAGCAGAAATGAAAAATGTCCTGCATGTCTCTGAGCATAAACTGACCTCAACATTCCCTTTCCAGGAGTCCCAGTCTGGTTGCATCCTGCTGCTAGTCTCCCTTAGAAGTGCCAGTGTTGTGCTCATATTACTCCTTTGTTCTCTTCCCTTTGGGACAAGCTCTGTCAGTCTGGTTTGCGTTTCTGTTTCATGTTTTGCTACCCTGTGTCTGAGATGTGTGTTCTGGTGTGTGTGTGTGTGTCCGTAGGCTGCTGGAAACGCGGTGAAGCGAGCCTCTGACAACCTGGTGAAAGCGGCACAGAAAGCAGCGTTTGATGCTCAGGATGACCATGCTGTGGTGGTCAAGAGTAAGATGGTGGGAGGCATCGCTCAGGTGGGTCGAAGGTCACAAATGCAGAGCTGTTACACAGCAGAGTTGGATATTCTTCTGTAATCTTACTCACTGGAATGAAAAATAATCTACAGCTGCAAATAGTGTAGAAGAGAACAGGCACAAAGGCACCATCGAGTCTCAGAGAAACTGAGGAGAATTTTCTCCAAATACAACATCCTGGTCAACTTTAAACCCAACAACACTCTCAGACAAAAAAATGGTCCATTCAGAAGATATGACACCCAAACAGAAGCTTAGTGGCATCATTTATGCAGTCCAGTGTAGTGAGGACTGTCCAGATCTTTACATTGGGCAAACTAAACAATTACAAAAGTGCACGGGAGAGCCACCGCTTCAGGTCAAGACTCTGCAGTCCACCTACACCTGACGGTCAAAGGACACACCTTTGAAGATGACAAAGTACACATTCTGGACAGAGAAGATAGATGGTTTGAGAGAGGAGTAAAGTAAGCCATCTATGTAAAATTGGAAACACTTGCATTAAACAGGGGGGGGGGGGGGGGGGGGGGCCCTCAGGTTTCATCTTTCCAGCACCTCTAATGCAGCTCTGAACCTTTCCCCCAAACAGTTTCAGTCTAAGTCACACCCTCCTGCGTCTAATCAATGCAACTCCCACACAATAGAGGCTAACAACACCAACGACTCATCAGGAGGTAGGGAGGAGGGGTATTTATAGGTAGTTTCTGCTCGTTAAGCAACAACAGACAGCTACGGTTTATGATAAATGACCCACACGTGTATAGCGCCTTTCAGCGTCAGAGGACTCCAAAGAGCTTTACACTACATTGTGTCATTCATCCATTCACACACACATTCACACCCTGATGATGATGAGCTACAATATAGCCACAGCTGCCCTGGGGCTCCCTGACAGGCGAGGCTTGGTTCTTTTAAAACACAGAAAATACGAGTAGTTCTTTACCTTGTTTTGCTAACGTTTCGGTTTGCAGAGCAAGCTTAAGTCAGTGATGGTCATGTTGCTGTTGGCCAATCAGAGGCGAGATGTTCGAACGTCATGAATATTAATTAGTAAGTCTCCAAATTCCGCCGATTCCCCCCCCCCCCCCCCCCCCCCCCCCCCACTCCTCCGGCTAACTTCTAGTTCCTGAAACAAGAACACTGGAGCTTTTTTTCAACAGAGAATGTCTCACAAGGCCTTCCTTAATACCAGAGACCACTGCCGATTTATCCGAACGAGTGTCTGCCCACTTCAACAACCACCCAGGTTCTTCAGAAGGGATCTGATCATATTTTAGAAAGGTTCATCTGGGACACCAAGCCGTGCTCTGGCTGTTTTTGAAACTACTAACTCAAGTCCATGAGACTAAAATAAAGCCTTCCCACCCTTTAGTTGTCCCACAGGGACACATGTTATAGTTGATGGTTAATGTTTTAAATGATAGATGAGTAATCAAAGGTACAATTGAAAGAAACAAGTTGGATTTAGTGCTCCTTGTGTGTGTTGAGCTTGTGCACTGACAGGCTGGTGTGATGTTGCAGATTATTGCGGCCCAGGAGGAGATGCTGAGGAAGGAGAAAGAACTGGAGGAGGCCAGGAAGAAGCTGGCCATGATCAGACAGCAGCAGTACAAATTCCTCCCATCAGAGCTGCGAGAGGATGGACAGGAACAGTGAGAGTGTGTGAACGTGTGTGTTGTCAGTGATAAACGGCATCATCACTAACGCAGAAGCAACCATTGGATGGCTCAGGACTTCCCACTGGCTAATGCTTTAGCAACACACCTTAACATGTCCAGGTGCTTCTTATTCAATTATGGTGTCAAGTTTCCAGAGCAGAACGTTTAATAATAAGATGAGTTAAGCTAAATAAGGGCTGAATAAATTATCATTGCTTTTGGTAAAAAATGTTTGTATACTTTCTAAAACTTTCCTTGCAGTTTGTGTGTACATGCTGCGTGACTTTGTTAAATGTCAAAGTCGGACCAGTTCGAGCTCGACTGTTACGCCCTCACGTGAGAAGATGGGCTCCGAGTACAATCTATGCTTCAGCGCCAGATTCTGTATGATCTATGCAAAGTTTTCTTTGATTTGATGTTTTTGTCTGAACACGTTTCCAAAGAGCCTCTATGTACTCATGCCAGGAGTTTGGTAACATTCACTTTGTTACGTTTACAGTAAAACGTCTAAAATAAGGACTGAATGAAATGTTGGAATTTTACATCTCAGAAAATACAATGAAAAGAGATTTAGAACAAATTAGATGGAATCAGTATTTTTTACTAATGGCTCTAAACTGTTTTAAAGAGGTGTGTGTATTTGTGTTAGTATTTAGTGATATAAAGCCATATATTTAATGTCAGATCGTTTTCTATCAGAATGACTGTTGATAGCTCAGCCATTATTGAGTCACTCCAGTGATGCAAACAGAAACGGGTTTTGTCTGTGGAGCCCAGTGACCACGGTATTACGGCCCAAAGCGTTATGTTTATGCTTACACAGTGTCTGTTATGTATTACTCATCCTATCTGGCCCAGAAGTGCAATAACTTCATCACTCCGCTAAGTTCCAGCACAAGCAGCTTCATTGTCTTTGACATCATGTAGAACAGAGCGGCAAAGCGTTCAAACTGTTCTTCTGATCACATTTTAACTTTATGGTGACATAATGGTAATGCTGGTGCACAGTAGTACCACCTGCCGAGCACTGTAACAGAGATTTATAAGCAATAAAGCTCATTTTCACTGAAATTGGTGACACTTGTTTCTTTGATCTTTGACTTTCACTCATTCTGTTTGCAGCAGACCTCCATCCCTCCCTCTCTTTTAGGTGCAGCTTCAGGACTCAATTAGCTGCCTTGAAAGTTTACAGTTCCTCATCTTTTCAACACAAACTTAGAAAATCAACAGGCTCATAATTCAACACATCAGTACACATTCTTCCTTGTTTTGTTTTTTTACTTGAGGACCGATAATGAATAGTTACGTGAATTCTCGAGGTGCCAACTGTGGCGTGTTTTGAGTTTCTGAAATAAGCACAATAACCTCAACATTTGAGTTCAGACCCAGAAGGAACATTAATCCATCAAGAAGGTTCTTTTGTTCCAGTAGTGACAGAAAAATATATATAAACATGGAAAGAGCTATAATAAAATAAAAGCAATATAAACAAAATAAATTATACGATAAATAGATTCATGAAAATGTATCAGCAGAATGTACACCTGATCCTGATAATACTGCACAGTCAATGTTTGGTTGTGTTCTCTCGACACTTGTTCAACTCTTTGTCACTGAGTAATACTCAAGGGCGTCAGTTTGTTTTCAGAGTTGCTGGGGACAATAACCATACACTTGAGTGGGGTTTAAAAATTGCTCGGGACAATAAAGTAGGCTAGCACAGGGGTTGGCAATCAGCGGCTCTGGAGCCGCATGCGGCTCTTCCATCCATCTGATGCAGCTCTGTGCTTGTAAAATAATGAATGGATATTTAAATAAAATGCTTTATATTTTACTGCATTAATTTTACACCTGTATGCCAATTCTAAATGTAAAGATTGTCTGCGTAAACCTGAACAGGTCCAACCCGGTCTTACTGTGAGACCGGGTTGACGGGTCACGCTTGTGCGTAATCATATGGGCGCTTTATGAGCTGAAGACAATGTGAGATTCTGGGACTCTCCTCAGACGGCTCCTGGATGTGTTGCCACATTGGAGACAGGAACAATCACTATTCAGCCAAAGTTTCATAATCAGGGAACATTTTCTAAGTGACAAGTCTCTCTGAGAGACAGGGTTTGGAAAACACTCGCTTCAGTGGGAGGAATCTTCCCGCATGCGCTCTGGTTCTCTGGGTGGCTCTGGGGTTAATCAAGTTTAATTGTTTCTCTTTGCAACAATCTTCACAGGAAGGCAAAACAGTTAAATGGCAGGTTACATATATTTCCATTTGACTGTTTATTTTGACAGATGAACTCAAGGATGTTGCTTGGTTTGAAAGAATTACCCCGACGCATACTGATGCGCATGGATGAGCTGACATTTTAATCGTTAACGCACATCGCGGAGGTAAAATATTCCCATCAAAACATCAGAGGTTTATACTGGACACTGTGTTCAGCGCGGCTCAGAGCGCCCACAGTGGACAGTGAGCTGAAGATCTGGGGTTCCTAGCGCAGTGCAGAACCACGGCGCATGCGATAAGATTTCCTCCCACTGAAACAGTCTGGAAACCCGGTCTCTCTGAGGGATGTCACTTGGAAAAATGTTCTTTTTATGAAAGTATGAAACTTTGGCTGAACAGCGCTTGTTCCCGTCTCTAATATGGAGACGCATGACGCGTAGAGACATTTGATCACGCACAAAGTTTATGTGGAGCAGAAGCGGTCGGGCCACGGCAGGTGAAACGTTCCTAGCCTACATGAAGTGAAACTGTTTAATTGTAACATTAATGTGTTACTGGACACGCTGATCTGGTTGGTTAGACCAGTGTTTGAAGTGGAAAACACACACACACACACACACACACACACACACACACACACCAATTAAGATAATGCTGATAGCGTGGACTAGAAGCCAGGTGATGGTTTACGTATTTAAATGATGATCAGGCTGCTGTAAAATGTAATCTCCATCCACATCCAGACAGAATTATCCTCTATTCTTTCTCTAGTTGCTCTGCTCTTGCCTGGGCTGATGTAGCTGATGGTGCGCGCGGCGCGCCTAACTAGCGGCTGATGCACATTTTACGCATTTGGAGAGGTGGGCTGGATGCTTTGCTTTTACTGGATATGGTCCACTTAACGCACGGGTGTAGACTACATATTAATGACAAATGAATGAAAATTAAATTGTGAGTTTTTACTTCATATTTTATAAATAAAAAGGACGGGGGAACACATTTATGATGTCTTTTTAAACTAAATTTTCTAGCGCGACCTGCCTGCTTCACTTAAGTCACTGCTTATTAAGGTCCGACCAAAATTACCGTGGGAAACGGGTAATAATAGCTCTTTGATGGGAACAGGTTGCCGACCCCTGGTATAAGATCTGAGCTGGTAAAACAAAAATCCTCATCAGCAGGCGTTTTTGAAAGTGTGTGTGTGTGTGTGTGTATGTGTGTGTGTGTGTGGGGGGGGGGGGGGGGGGACAGCTGCCAATCATAAATTTTGCCGGGGACATGTCCCCGGCGTCCCCGGTTAAAATGACGCCTATGGTGATACTAAGCTGTAGATAGAAGCTGACACACACACAAAACTGTTCAGTTAAAGCAGGATTTTTGGTTTAAGAGTTTTTTTCAAACCTCTTTGCAGTTGGTTAACCATCCTCCACCCTAGAGTGGGTTAGGAGCAGAGTCTCCCCTTAAGGTGGAATAAACTCTCCAGCCTAATAGCCGACTTGTCAGGTGGTGTTCTGGTCCTGAATAGACACGTCAGCTATGGCAGCATCAGCATCTCAGAACAACTCTCATCCCCTCCTGGTACCCATCCAACTGGGAGTTTTCTACCCAGATCATGATGGACTCATCTCCTGTCTCTGGCCCGCCACCCCCATCCACCTGTGGTCTCCAAGGTCGAGGACATTCATCACCCATGGCATGCAGAGAAGCATCCAAGAGCGGGGCGGTCAGAATACACTCATCACTTTATAGCGTGCTGTGCAACATGATGGGATCAGAACCTAAACTCAAATTGTACTTTACAGGAAAGATATTTGAACTCTTTGTCCTAGGTTATCTGAGCCAGATGTGTTCTTTCATGTCATGAATTCAATAAATTTAACGAACAACCCAACAGGAGGATCTATAACTCTTCCATAGATTAAATCTGCTACACATCAGCCGTATTATTAACCATATTACTTATTTATTGTGTCTCTGATTTTAGATGAAAGCACAAATTTAAACTTTTTTATGTTTTGTGATTTGATGATTTCCCCCCTATTATTTTAATCTTTTGAGTTCAAACCTGTCAGACTAGAAAAGTCAGACCAAACCTTTAATGGTGAGTTTTCAGCTGCAAATTTCATCCATCTAGTTCCAGCTCACATCATTTGAACAGGAGGCCAATGGAAACTTGTTCCGATCACTACCAGACTCCTCTGCGAGGAAGGTCCACCAGTCCTGGACAGTTGTCTTTTTAAATATTTGGGATGTGAGATGACTGTCTCACACAGAGCGATGAGAAACACACACACACACACACACACAGACCAGCTCTTGCTGCCTAAATATGGGCAACAGTTGGAGCGGGTCTGTAACGGATGAGGTTCACGCTGCAACTGCAGCAGCTGGTGGGCTGGACCAGTCTGTGAGTTATCCTGGAGTCTTTCAGTCCAGCACCACAGCTCGCCCCCATCCAGCTGCCTGAGTCTCTGTCTGGATATCTGTGTTCTTCTTTTCTCTGCTGAGAGCCAACACACACTAAAACATGGAGGCCATCAAGAAAAAGATGCAGATGCTGAAGTTGGATAAGGAAAATGCGATAGACCGTGCAGAGCAGGCTGAGGTGGACAAGAAGGGAGCGGAGGACAAATGCAAACAGGTGGGTCTGATGGTACCAAGCAACAGATCAGAGGGGAAGGAAGTTTTCATGGGTAAAAAAAAAAAGAGCTACAGAAACAAGATGTGTGGAAATTAATTAGGTGAAAAAAATCAAAAAGAAAAGATAATCAGAGAGAGTCGTGGTTGTCTTCTGGAATTTAGTTAAAACCAATAAGGCCTCCTGTCCCTTGACTTTGGAGAAACCTTCAACAAATAAAACGTCTGAAAATTAAAAATCAGTTTTTATGTCTGGTCAGAACCAGTAAAAGATGTGCAAACGAGAACAGTTGGATTAAAGCGCAATGGAGCTCCTCTGGGGCCTGCTATTGAATAAGTTAACTTTATTGATAAAGCGCCATTTACAGGAAACTGAAGATCTCTACAATAAAAACAAGAAACAAATGTACAAACGCAGATAAAAGAGAAAGTGTGAAAGCTAAATAAAATAAGCAGCTGTAATCACACAGCCCAAACCCTTCATCTGCTTTTTCAAATGGTCAAAAGGATTGATTGATTTTTATTAATTAACTTATATTTTAGGAGGATATAGCCACTTGAGAGAAAGGATAGAAGCAACACATTCTACAACCTGCGGGCCACTGGTCTTAAATCCCTTCATGGATCTACTGGCAGCCCTCGACTGGATGATCTGAGACTATAAGAAGGTGTGAGGAGCTCTTAAAGTTCAGAGATGTAGGCACAGAACATGAAAATTCAAAACAACTTTTAAAAATGTTTTTAAATGTACCAAAAGCAAGTGTAACAAAATTAAAACAGGTGCATTGTGGTCTATTTTCACACGTTATGAGGACACACGCAAGTCCAGCACTGTTACTCCTGTTTTCCTTTCTAATCTTGGTGACTGATGAGTTGAGGGTGAAGTTTGCTGGAGCAGAACACTACAGATGTGCTCCATTTTCACTTCTCTCATTTAACCACACCAGTGTTGTTGCTGTCCTTAAGACACTGCTGCTAGAGAAAATTTACACAAAAATTAATCAGCTTTTTTTTTCTTTATGTGGGCAAAAAGTCTTTGGCAGCCACAGATTTTGCGAGTTGTCCACGTAAATAGATGAGAGAGGTCTGTAATTTTCATCGTGGCTACACTTTAACTGTGAGGCAAAATCCAGGAAATCACAAGGTACAGTTATTAAACTGTTCATTTGTAAAATGTTGAATGGCTTGTATTTATATACAGCCTTTTACAGTTCGACAACCCCCCAAGGCGCTTTACAACACAACACAACCAGCTACCCACGCACACACACACACACACACACACACACACACACACACACACACACACACACACACACACACACACACACACACACACACACACACACACACACACACACACACACACACACACACACACACACACATGCTGGTAGTCATGAGCCACATTGTAGCTATAGCTACAGCTGCCCTGGGGCACATTGACAGAAGCGAGGCTACTGAACACAGGTGCCACATACTTCCGACCACCACCAGCAGGCAAGGTGGGTGAAGTGTCTTGCCCAATCACACAACGACTGTGGCAGAGTGAGCAGGGCTCGAGTCTGCTACCCTCCTGTTGCAGACCACAGTATCCCCAGTGCAGAAAATACATATTTAGTACCTACAAACAAGCAATGTCTTCACAGACCTGTTACTTCTTCTTTGAGAAGCTCTTCTATCATCGTTTCCTGTATTAATGGCACCTGTTTGAACTTCTTACCTGAATAAATTACACCTGTCTACACCTTCAAACAGTCACACTCCAGACCTTTATCCAATAGAGAATTTGTGAAGACATTTGAAAGTCCGTTTTACCCACCGACAGCCCTAAACCATCGCAGCTCTATAGAAGCATGGAAGAATGGGCCAAAATACCAGCAACAGTGTGTGCAAACCTGGTGTAGACCTACAGGAAACATCTGACCAACTGTCAATGCCAACCAAGATTACATGAAAAAGTATTGAGGTAAATGTTGTTATTTACCAAATACTTATTTCCTGCACCATATTATTTAGAAATTATACTTTGTGATTTTCTTGGATTTTTGTTTTACATTATATCTCTTGCAGGTGATGAAAATTACAGACCTCCCTCATCTTTTTAAAGCTGCAATAGCAAAACAAGCTAGCTTTTAAACACAAAATTACTGAACTCTGACCACTCCCATCAGCTATCATCCCTGGGCCACATCCCTCTGATACCAGAAAGTACATTACCAGAGTAAATGAGAGTACGCTAAACACCGGGCACAGATAGGTCTAAATGTCTTTTGTTGTCTGTCTGCAACTTCCAAAGGCGTTTTTTGATTTATTTATTTTTTTTGGAACTCTGATAGTTTGTCCTAAAGTTGAAGTGGTAGCAGCCAGCAAAATGCCGTAAGGACCACAGTGAATGCGGAAGTGCAGTGGTTTGGAGACACAGACAACCGGATGGTCCAGTCGTTGGTTTTGGACTGAACCATGGCTTTGGTTTTTAGACAAATGGGAAAGAACCACTTCTTTTTAAATATAATTCCACAATATATACATATAGCTGGAAAGTTAAGAGTCATGAGGAAAAGATTTAAAATTAGCTTGTTTTGTGGATTTGCCATTTTTGTGTTGGTGGGATAACTTGCACAATCGGTGACTTCCAAATAATTTTTGCTCCACTGTATTTACAGCAGCAATGATTATCATGATTACCAGAAAAATAATTAATCTGACCAGTCACGAAAAACCTGTCAGATGGGAGCTGTCTTCACTTTAATCCGCAGGACTTTTATGGTCCTATCAGAGTTATGATTGATCATCTTTGCTACGTCTGCTTTGGCTGGGATCACTTGCTTTAAATCAGATGATCCATTTGGGCACTCTTCGTGCCTACAGAAGTATCCCCAGACTATCTTCTGTTGAGCATGTTTTCCCTAAAAGGTCTGAGAGGCTTCTGGTGTTTACAGATAATTTCTGAGTGAATTAGCTCTTTGCTGAGGGTCTTTCATACTTCTTCTTCACTTTGGTTTGAACATGAGCAAACATGGACCAAACCCTCCTGATTGGCCCCAGGTTTTCTAAGACAAACCATCAAAAGTTGCAGCACATTTTAGTTAGCTGTCTCTGCATTTATTTGGGAAATTACAATATTCAGTCTAAGTTATGTGTGAAAATAAAAGTAAATGTGACTGTTTCGAGTATCTTACCAAAATAAAAGTGAGGTGAAGAGATCTTTTCCTTTGATTGTAAAACTGTGTGACTCCATTTAACCATACAGTAGATCATTCATCAAAATGTTCCTGTCTTGGTTCTCTGTGCTCATTGAAAATAGCTGATCACATGCATGGTAGCACAGAGGGAAAACCCTTTAATGAATCACAGTCCAGCAGGAAGGCTGGATGGAACAGGCCAGACAGACACAGGAGCTGTAGAGTCCTGTCGGCCCAGAAACAACTGCTTATTAATCATAAGTTATTCTTCTTGAGATCTTCTGACGATGAGACATGATGGAGTTCTGGCTGGTTAGTCGGATCTTGAAAATATTGTTGTAGGCAATCTCACAGCATTACAAGATTGTTAGCAGTGCCCGTTCTGAAAGACTCGGCTGCTAATGTGTGAAATTTTAGCATCTGTAAAACTGAAGGTAGAGAATAAAACATAAAGGTGTCAGCATACTTTCAGTGAGCAGCAGTAGAAGAGGACATGTCATCTGCCAGAACTTCATTTAGTCTCTGCTGTCCAGAATCCAACGCTCTAAATAATTCTCTGACTGGTTTTCTCCCCTGATCACCATTAGCTGTTCTTGTTGTGTAGTGCCATTTATGCACAGTGATGCTGTCTGTTAAGGAGAATAGTCCAGGTTTGACTCTTATCTGGGTACTAGAATCTACAGCGCTCAGCATAAATGAGTACACCGCCTTTAAAAAGTATGAATTTAATCAGACTTTTCACAAGACTGTGTTTTATTGAACACTTGTTTAACTCCATAACATAAAATTAAGGTTAATAACATAACTTTGATCACAGAATCTTCAGTTTTACCAATCTGCAGCAAAAGCTGGCGACGTATTACATCATCTCTCTTTTTCCAGTCTTCAAGAGTACGTAGAGCCTGGATGCTGGATGGAGAGTGGTGCTCAGCTTGAACAATGAATCATTAGATGACTCATTGTGTGGTTGAATGCCTGTTAATTAGAATTTTGTAGTTTTAAGTGGGGCTTTTCTCTCAAGACCAATTGGAGTGTACTCTTTTTTTTGCAACACGGGCTTGAATGGATTTGTTAGGAAAATCAAACTTTTGTGTGCAAATGAACAAATCTTGTTTGCAATCAATGGTCCACATTTGTGGGAGTATTCTGTAGTGCGGTGTGTCATAGAAAATGTTGATGCTGACAGGAAACTAAAGGTTTTCTGACTAATGTAGAGGGGTGTACTCATTAATGCTGAGCACGGCACATATTCTCCCTGTTCCTACACGGGCTTTCTCAAGATTTTCTCAATGACCATGAACATCTCTGTTACGTTTAGCTGGGAAATTAGGATTTTGCCATGGAGGCGGACCTTTGGTTGGTCTTGTGACGTTCCTGCCAAACTGACAAGTCATTAAGGAAAATGACTCATTCCAGACGTTTGTGGAATTGCTGGAGATTTCAGGGTAATTGAATGAAAATTTTAAGGATGTCCTTCGTCCAGTTGACATGTCCCCTGATGAGGAGGCAGAGACTGAAAATGTAAGCTGAATCTACTATACTGGTAAAGGTCAAAGAGGCAGTTAGTTGCACCATTCTTTCTTTGTGAAGAAATTTCTGAGCCAAAAGGCAGATACTGTACAGATCTGTCCACACTCCACCCCATGAGATTGAGATGAGGACCAAAATTACGAGATGCTGGATCAAACTGGCCAAAATGATCTTCCTAAGAAGTGTGACTGAGTTCAGCCTGAGGAGTAAGGTGAGGAGCTCTTATGTTTGCTACTCATCCAGATCAAAAGGAGTCAGTTAAGGTGGTTCTGGCTTAAAGAACTCCTCAACGCCTACATCTGGAGGTTTGCCATGAATGTCCTACTAAGAGGAAGATACCAGGAAACCCCAGAACTTATTGGCGGTATTGTGAATCCAGTATAAGCTGGAACAGGCTGCTGAGGAGAGGGAGATCTGAGCTTCCCTCCTGCATCTGTTACCTCCAAACCTCAACCTTGGATAAAAAGGAGAAAATTAACAGATGGATGGATGACTGGTTACTACTCAGTATATCTGACCACATTAGTTGACGGTCTATATAAAGAAAGCTGTCGTTTATCTGCCTAACCGCTGACATCATATTGTTCCCGGAGGGCTGCAGCTGAAGCTGTTACAACGCCTGCTCTTCTCTACTTGGGAGCATTTAATACTGGTATGTCTATTCCTGTGCTACCACATAGCCCCCCCCCCCCCCCCCCCCACATGAATTGTTGTGGCCTCTAAAATCAACACGGCTGGTTTGAGAGTTACCATTTTAAATATAAAGGATTAGGAGATTCCAGTTCCATGAGGGAGTCAGAGGCTCGACATAGCTCTGAGCAGACGGGCTGTAACAGGTGATGCAGAAAGGACATTTGTTCTAGGAATTTAAGAAGGTCTTGGTGCTTTATTGTGGCCTTTATATAGTTCTGGAAGCAGCCCCAGCCTTGAGGGGAACTACTTTAAAATAGTATTGTAAGTGTATTCATCTCAGCTCATAGCAGGCACATTGAGCATAAACACACTTTAGTGTTTGGTAATGTAAAATATATGAAACAAATCCTGAAATTTCTTTACTAATCTGTTCTGGGGAAAATAAAAAGTGCAGTAAGCTGATTGCATCATATTAGTGTGCAGTGTTCTGATTTAATCCCAGCCTTTAGTCGCCTTGTGCAGCAGCCTTGATTTGGTGATC